AAAAAAAAAAAAAAAACAAACAAAAAAAAAGAGGACTGCGAGCCTGAGTGGAGGAAAGTGGGGGTGGATCGTACCGACCTGTATTATATAGAACTTGCCTGTTTCGCGTCCAGCACCTTCTACCATACCACTTATCGTGCTGATACGTTCGACCTTCCCGCGGCGAGAAGGGACTACACTGTTTCACCAAATATTATGATGGAACTCCCCGGCAATAAGTCCAGTCTACTGTTGTCCAGCCACACCTCGATCCAGCCTCTGCCCAGCATGGCAAACGCAGATATCTCTCACCAGATCACTAGCCTCATTGAGGTCACGGAAGGCATCGTCCAGGCGTATAGCCCGATCAAAAACCTCCGTGGCCTACCCGATGCCTTCCGGGAAGTGAACAACCTCCTACCTTTCATCAAACAAATCCTTCAAGATGCAAAGAGTCCGACGAAGAGAGTCCTGTCCGCCAACGATGCTGAGGCGCTGAAGACGGCGCTGTGTAGCTGCGGCGAGAAGGCTAACAATCTACTGGAGATCTTCCAGAAGTTCGCAAAGAAGACAAATGGCCGATACAACTCTTCCGTGTACCGGGCAATTGTTATTCAACACGGCAAGCATAATGTCGAAACGCTGGCGGACGGTATTTTGCAGGATCTAGGAGCCCTTGTGACGCACCACATATTTCCGGCGGACATGCAGAGGCAAGTTAAGTCGTTGGAGAATGCTCGAGAGGCGCTAGCGAGATTGTCTCCATCCCTAACTGACTCCGATCTGGCCGACCAGCCTCATGCTGCTCACCAGTATGGGGATCATGGCCGCCAGTATAACCTGCTCGGCGAGGGCAGCCAGAGAATCGCCGATGGTCACTATTTCGAGGCGCGGGGAAATCAGACGTTCGGCATGTTCCCGCCTAAGAGTTTTACGAACAGCTCTGAAATCGCTGCTGGTCAATAAGATTTCAGCGGTATCCCAGCATCACCCTCTCCCAGCCCTAACATTGATTTGCATCCAAACTACACGGCTTTTAGCCAAGCTCCTAACGTTCGTGCATTACGGGAATAGTCTTTTAACAACCCTCACTGGTTCCAGGGCCGTACGCGCCCTTACAGTGGATTGGGGGAGGCAGGGGATCTCTGGCATGTTTAGCCCTGCAGATTATTTTAGGCTTTGATATCGTTTCGTTGGTTTAGGTGGTCTGTCAGCCATCGGGGATTTCACCTTCCGGTTACTTAGAACGTTGGTGGGGGTAGACGCGATAGGCATTTATGCGGGTAGTAAGAGGTTCGCTGGGAGATATCCTGTGTGTACAAGTAAAGCCTACAAACTATAATACTATATGGGGTCTACCATGATATACCCCCCACATTGTTAATAAAGTACGGGGCCGCGCATAGGACCCTAATGGCGCAGAAATCTCCGTCGCTCTCTATCCTTGATATATTCGATTACCGCTCGTATATATAGTTTCTTTCTGGTTTCTGCCCAAAGGCTACAGGGTAGTGACTGAAGTATGGTCGGCATATTATTCATCTTGATTATTTTGGCCAGACAGAGAGGTGGGCCATGTTCATCTTCTATCAGGTTCGAAGGTGAAGAGCTTACAAATTAATATCCCATTTACATACTGCACAAACGGCTTCAGCCGGGATGAAATAATTCAATCGAAGGACAATTGGCAGGTTCCAACATTAGGACAATTTCTGCCTAATGTCCAAATCTTTGTATTTCATGTATGGCATGGACGTAAATCCTTAATGTCCAAATGCCTGTGCACACACACACACACACACTATAGCGCTTTGACCGTCGCGGGAGAACATGTTTTCTCTTCCCCGGGGGAGCCTATTGGTTTACACAAGGCACGCTTGACGATCACTGATGCTAGAAAATCAAGGCCCCACCGCCATATACGTAGTAGCCCCAGAACGACAGCAAAAATAGGAGCTGTGAAAGTTACTAGGTTATAAGGATTTTTGAGCCAGAATTTATGCTTATACGTAACTTTTGAGCAAGGTTTGCCCTAGGTTTGCGGGAACCCTGATTTGATGCTAGGGAATATATTTCTCCAAAGCATTTTCGCGGCCGTAAGCAATGGATGTGATGGGAAATATTGATTGATAGACCTCAAGTCAGATGATTTTTAATTGCGGGGGATCAAAGTCTATTTCTGGTATAAAAAAGTCAAATGCACGGTCGCTAATCGGCGGTGTTCGCATGAGTCATGTATGAACTCTCATTAAATTGTATATTAAATCATGGATCCAGCCGTGGTAGCCCAATTAAAAAAAAAAAAAAGTTCCTCCGGCAAATTGTAGGTGATGTTTGGATGTGGGATTCCGCTGTATATCATCACAGGAACATCTTGACTACACACAACTCTACTCCTAGTCGTATTTCATTCGAATCATTCCCTACTCCCTACTAGTACACACAAGGTTGCAGATGGCAGCAAATCACAACGAAGCCTGGGATGGGCGTTCAGTAAATAGCACAAATGTGAGCCTGCACCTCCCTGTGCTTTGCGAGAGGGAAAGAAACAACAATCATGGTCCAAACTGATTGCATTGATAGCAACAACTTGCATTCGTCGCCACAAAACACGATCCAGACGCGGAGCGGAAAGTTGTGCTCCTACCGGCCAATGATCCTCGATCTCGATTATTTGTAGTCAATACGCCGAATCAAAATTTCGCAGGGCTACAGAGTCCTCCCACTTCCCAACAAGGAGGAATTCCTTGGAGGCAGACGGGTTCGTGGAATGCTTGTCAAACCAGCTTTTATACTGACAGGTTTTCTTGCTTCCCTAGACTCGGAGAGCGTTCACACCTCCTTTGAAGAAGATTGGAATCCTCAGCCAGCTATGCCCTCAACCAAGTTCCATTTCACCGGCTGCACTTTTGCGGAGTCACATATAGTTAATGGAGATGTGGTGAAAGATGTCTCGCAGCAACGCACGCTATCCAACACACAATATCAATTTGAAAAGTCTAAGTTTGAAAACAAGAGCCAGGCAGTGAATGGGAATATGGAAGGGGATGTTTATCTGAAGGTTGTAGATATTTACAACAGCAACAACAACAACAGCAGCAGCAGCAGCAGCAACAGCAACAGTTAAACAACATTAAGTGGTGGGGCTTTAATCCCTCTTCTTGAATGTCGCCAAGAATTGTGGAATGGGTTTATTTATTGCGGGTTCGGGAGAGAGAAGATACTCGCGAGAGAGTAGCAGTAGAACAGGGACTGCTGCCTTTGACATGTGTGGGCAGAAAGTATTAGATGAACTAGGCCAATTAGACTCGCAGCTTGCATAGAGGGTATCTTTACTAAATAGTTCACTGTCGTCGGTTATTCATCTCTGGTGTAAGCAGTTCTCGTGTGGTGGCATCATTAGAATAAATAATCAAGTAGTTAGAACCAATAAGACCCAGAAGAAGAACCCAAAGAGGGATTTATACAGTTTATTCAAGGTTAACAAATGAATATATTCAAAACTACCTAAAGCTACCTAAGCAATGCTATTATTGATGCTGCAAAATACAGCTTCAAGACCCAGGGCAAGGGGTTGCTCATGCTTTTTTACCTATAATCGCCAAGGTAGACACGAATTTAGGTTACCAAAGGTCTCACGCCGTTGACATACCATCTATCTAATCTACTGCGATTTCTTCGCCTGGTTCCACTGCTGCCTCAGTTTTGACTCACGCACTGCCAGCCCGAAGGAGCCAGCCGCCCCCGGGCCCAACACAATCGTGCCGAGGAGGAGAAGACCCAAGTCCCTCTTTTCAACATCAGACATCTTAGAATGGTGAGTATTTACCTCCCGTCTCGCTGATTTGCTCTCCCTCGCTCTGGACAAGAGAAGATACGTGAATACGATGCAAGCCAGCGAGACCACAATCCAGTCAAACTGGCTAAAAAGGTGGAACTGCTCCAGGACCTCGGCTGTTTTATTTGCTGTCCCTGTACCATCGCTATTAATAGCGGATGTATTCGATCTCTGCCCCATCCATGACAAGGGCAGAGTATTTGCTGTTGCCAGTCGCTCCCAGGTCGGAACAAAGAGTCGGGAAAGTGTTGCGTCTGGGTTGCGCGTCTTCAGAGCAGTGATCACGGTGAACAAGTGCACCATGCCTGAGATTACACCCGCTAGAATGTACGACGCAACTAACCAAGGCTGGTCAGGGTGTCTTCGGGGGTCGTTTTCGGCTGGGGATCGAGCCAGGAAATGACCCGCTGGAGACCCGAGTATCCGCTTGCTGATATCGAAGATCATGGCGAGCAGGATGGGTGTGGCGTGGAAGAGTGCGACCAGCCCGTGGTGGGTCCAGGTGCTTGTTTGCAGCCAAGTGGGTGCAAAGAGTAGTGAAGGGCATAGAATTGCAGAGATAGTTGTCAGAAACAGGGCGGTAGCTTCGTGTCGGGGGATCGTTGGATCCCGCTGCTTAAGGTTGCCTTGAACAATGATGTAAAGATAATGAGGTTGAATGAGAGCAGCGCCGATGAAATTCCACACGATCATGAAGGCGAAGGGACTATGCATGCATTGTTAGCTCACGACAAAGGGCGGACTATCATAATCTATACAACACACGTACTATTTCAATGCCGCACTCTGCATACCACGCCTACGACTTTCAATCATAACCCAGACATTCGTGCAGATGACAACGAAATTGATGTTGAAGAAGAGCATCCGCGGGCCCATGGAGAGTCCGTTGCTGAGCACTTCGTAGAATGCAATTACCGGCGTCATGCGATGATCCAATGCGTCAACCCCCGTATATCTCATTCGCATTACGCGTCCATCTGGCAAGTGTCCTGTGGCGACGATTGTATCGAAGTTATCAAACATGTGGCCCCAATACCCGACAAATCCCCAGATAGATGATATGCCGAGGATGCCCAGGGCAAGAAGATGGTGTGGTGCTGGGCGAATCATTTGGATAACAATGGCCCACCGCGCGTTTCTGGCTTTTCAGAACATTCATGGTCAATCCAATATGCGTGAGAGGTGTATAGAAATATACTGACAAAAGGCCGCAGCGTCGCGGAATATTGGCCATGGCGGAGGCGAAGCCCTAATTGACCCCGGCGCTGCGACGGCCGCCCCAACTCCGTCCCCGGTCTGCATTAAATGCGCATGTTTGCCGTTTTGTTCACCACGGAGTCAGCACGGAATGCTTTATGTCGCCGTAACGGCCGTGTCGATTCCCGTCTATTTGGCCCGACAGTGTCCGTCCTGGATGTGGATGGGTATGGGGTCATGGTGGCACCCTTCTCCTCATAAAATACTTATCTGCCATCCCATGCGACAAGGATGAAATAGCAATATCGGACCAGCTTCTCCAACTGACGAGAACAAGAGAATGATTGCACGCATTACAGAATCCCCACCTCCCTCTCAATATGAGTCTCCTTTTCGAGTCATCATTGTTGGTGCTGGAGTGGCCGGCTTGACCTTAGCCCATTGTCTCGACAAAGCCGGCATCGACTATCTTGTGCTGGATAAGGGCATCGTGGCACCACCATTCGGGACGACTATTACACTTCAGCCGCATGGATGTCGGATTCTCCACCAACTTGGCATCCTTGATGATGTGCTAGACAGCTGCTCGACCATGGGCAAATGCTACTACCGCGCCCCAGACGGGCACTGCTTCTTGGAAAATGATTTCTTTCCCATTGTCAAGAAATAGTAGGTCGACGTCTGGAAGGAAAACTCAGCTGTTGGACAAGGCGAGTCCTAACCCTCGTGTTTCAGTGCAGGATATGACACGCGCACGATGAACCGACAGCTTTTCTTACGTATCCTCTATAACTGTCTCCCTGATAAGTCGAAAGTCCTTGAGCACCATCGCGTGGTCGATATTATTGAGGAGAGAGACTCTGCCCGCGTAGTCCTGGGAGATGGCACCGAGTACATTGGGGATCTGATTGTGGGAGCCGACGGCGTGCATAGCAAAGTGCGTGAGATCATGTGGAACAACGCAAACAAGACAATTCCGCATTTCATCACCGCCGCTGAGAAGCGATGTACTAGAGCCATACCCACATCTCCCGAAAATTATGTTCAAAGCTGACAGCTCATCTCTCCAGCTATGGTCACCACCTACAACGCCATTGTAGCCCAGTGTCCACCAATCCCCGGATTGGGTCCCCACGACATGCACTCAATCTCGAACGACCGTTTCTCCTTCCTGCTCCTCTGTCAGCCGACCTTCATCTCCTACATCGCACACTGCAAACTCCCGGAGGACCAGCAGTGCGTATGGCCCAATCGCGCGCGGTTTACCGACAACGACATGGAGGCCCTGGCATGCAAGCTAGCCGACTATCCAATCTGCGAGTCTGTGGTCTTCGGAGAACTGTGGCGCACCCGCACCAAGGCCCAGCTTATCTCCCTGGAAGAAGGCGTTCTCGATCACTGGTTCTTTGGCCGGACGGTAATGGCCGGCGACGCAATCCATAAGGTGACCCCAAATTCAGCGTTGGGCGGCTGCACGGCGATGGAAGATGGCGCAGCAATCACCAATCAACTCTATCAGCTGCTGAACCGACACCCGAACAAGAAACCCTCGACTGTGGAAATCAGTGCCGCTATGCAGGAGTACCAGGACTCACGGCTTGATCGCGTTAAGACCATCGTCAAAGTCGGCGGCGATCTCACGCGTCTACAGGCCTTTGACGGGTGGTACTTTTACATTATGCAGCGTTGGGTCACCCCGTGGATTGGACTGGACACGCTAGCAGTCAATATAGCCAAGCTGTGCAGTGATGGCACGAAGTTGAGCTTTGTCGACTTTCCAGAGCAGAAGGGGCTTCTGGGATGGCAGGATACCATCGCGATCGAGGCAAGGAAGGAGAGAGCGGTCGGGCAGAAGCAGCAGTTGGAGCTATCACAGAAGTGGTGGTACTGGAATGGGGAGGTGCAGCAGATTTGGCCCTTGTTGGTGGGATTTTTCCTGTGCCTTAGTTCGACACTGTTATGGTGTTTACCGAGAGATCCCCATCATGTGTGGTTCGGGATTGACGCGGCTCATTGATTGTGTACACATGGAGGACTACCTAGGGGAGAGAAGGTGGAAATTCTCAAGATTCTGTATCGGCCCAAGCGTTTGCAAACTCACAAAGTCAATCACGACGAGTTACTGGGCCAAGGAAGGAACATAACTCTTGTGGTACGTATTCCAATAGTAAAACAGTTCCGATGAATCATAGCGAGTTACGAGAAATCGTACCTACCCATCATATGTGCTACTCGCCTACTGAAACTAGAAGGGTAAGGGTCAACGCCATAGAGTTTGCTGTAAGTGGTCGGTGATTTGCATTTGCTAGCAAGAAACTATCCCCCGATTTCTATATGCAGCTTCATATCTAATGTGAAATCTGAATACAAGTCTTAGGTCCCGTTGTTGTCGGTGCGCTTTCTCTGTGATCCTCGATCAGAGGAACCTTGAGGTCTGCCCATTTAAGCTTCGGTTATGCTCGGTCAAAGAGAAGACCATTGAGCCATATCCACGGGCAACATACCCCACTCAACGCAAATCAAGGAACGTTGGATCATTCCCCGGAACGGGACTCGTGTTGCTGTTCATCCCATTTCGCCAAGGCAGTCACCGCAGTGCTGCTTGCTTGGTGCCAATACCCATCAGGCTCCTCAACACGGTCCAGAGCGGCGCGTAGCAAGCGCAGAGAGTCAACGATGCCGATGGGAGTCGTGTCGCCATTGGCTAGACTGCGACTGAGGGCAATTAGGCTCATAGAAATGGGCCAGCCAATGAACGTCGCCTGGAGGGTGAAGTGATCACGCTAAAAAGAAGTCAGATTAGGCTCATGGGAAGAGAATACAAAGAGAGGTGGAGTTACCTCCGACCGCTGAACAGGCCAATTCATGCGAATGGCTCCGAGAATCTTAAATGCCGCGGCGGTACTACACTTACGACTCTCAGCTGCAACGAGCTTGGGCAAGTCTTGCTCTTCAACCTTCCGTATCGCTGCCTCGTGGAGGTTAATGTGTGTTGCGCATAGGTTGAGGTGCAGTGAAAACGCCAACGGATCTTCACGGACGGCTTTAGCAGTCAGGTATCGTTGGAAGATGGCGGTGTAGTCATTAATTGTCTTAACTAGACGGTAATGACGGTCCCAGAATCCCGAGTCGCTAGCACTGTGTGAGAGAATACTAACGTGCTCAAAGCACAGGCGGGCAAGCTTAACCATGATGGTCACCGCGGCATAGGAGGTCAGGTAACCGACTCCAGCAAGTTTTGTAGGGTCGCTGATAAAGGGCATCGGGCTAGGCAGAAATGTCTCGCTGAGCTCACCAGGGGACGGAAGAAAGATACACAAGTTGTCCTCGTCTAGAGTGCAAGGCCGGCCAATGCGAACGCTCCCATAGCTCTCGAATATGTATAAGGACCAGAAAGAACGACGAATCTCCTCCAGCGAGGCCGGATCGCGTGTATCGCAGGCTAATCCTATATCGGTGACATCCTGTTCAGGCCCTGTGCGCTGCTGTTGAGCCGCATCGCCGCTATCTATGTGATGCAGGTTGAGGATTTGAGCAAGTGTAACAGCACGGCCGAGGGTCATCCAAGCGCGGACAAAGTGCTTTTTTGTCAATTCGTAGCGAACAATGAATAATAACGCTTGAAAAGAATTTAGACTCATAATATACGTTTCGTCGTCGTCGCGCTCACAGAGTTCGATGTATTTGCGCGCATTGTTGTAACAGGGTGATTGTAGATGGACGTATTCTGGGGCGATCGTTGCGCCGATCAAGGCCACAGCGTAACTTAGGCCCCGAATACGGGGGGAGCCTGGATCATGGGTCCATTCTCCGTGAAATCGCGATTGATTTAAGATTGGTAAAACAGGATAGAAAACGTCGAAGTATTTATTGTGTCTGTGTCAATTGGTCAGTTGTCTTGTCCTCCAGACAAGGAAGAAATGGAAATACCTTACAGGACGGCAAGATCAGACAGTGGGATAGGTTCTTCTAGCTCATGGGTTGAGGAGAAGAGAGAGCTTTCGAAAGCAGAAGGAACCGAGCTACCGCTCCCTGTAGGGAGATAGCCACTCTCGAATGGAGTTGGAAGGTGAGGAGTCTCACCTGGCAGGATTGGAAGAGCATCAGGAGTCAAAGTTGGATCCATTACTCCCCAAAAATCGGGAATATCCTCCGTCAGGTTTGCTAACACGCCAAACCCCTCAAACGCACGATCCATTGGTGGGGTGACATGGCTCTGGAGCCGCTGCATTAGTCGTTCATGGTCACCTAGCCGCTCTGAAGGCGTCATCAATGGCCAGGATAAGTCTACATGGGGGGTAAGCGGCCGAGCGGTGGTAGCAGTGGATGTTGTCGAGGGTGTTGTCCGCAATAGGGCTTCTGCATGCGCTGGGGCAACCGACAAGGATCAGCGAGAACCAGATACATTCGACAAACAACATGTGATTCTGAGGCGGGCATTTACCTAATCGGTTCTGTAATTCAGATAATTGGCGTGGCATGTCCGCTTGAGCTGCACGATATCGCCTCCGTCCCTGGTAGCTGCAGTCGTAGCCAAGCCGCGCACAACGGCCACATTTGGGATCCCCCCGGTCACAGCGGACCTTTCCTGTGGATAAGAGTCAACACGGTACTTTGTTTGGTTTTCAGGGAGGGCTCTACATACGTTCTCTACAAATATCACAGGCTAATCTTCCAGAGGTCTGCGAAGCGCGTTCTTTCTTGGTGATGGAAGAACAGTGCGATTTGTGATGGTCGCCGCTACGGTCCTCCATAGATGCCGCGCTGGAGTCTGATCCGTCAGCCACACGGCGCAGCATGGTCGTAGAAGATTTTTCGTGAGATGAGACGGGGGTCATCTGGGAGATATGGACTGGTCGAGAAGCATGCTTTAAATGAGAGACGCTGATGAGATCAGATTTCCTTTCCCTTGGTTTCCTTAAACCTTATGCCAAGCCTTGAAACGAGGGGATTGGAGAGTGGGAGATTCCGTGAGATAATATCGACAAATGAGGCTGGTAGTATCAAGATCCTTTCTGGGACATTCTCCCTTTAATGCCATATAGACAGAGTTGCAAAGAAGACTTTGACCGAGGTGCGAGGTGGTTGCAGGTTGCAAGCCATGTACCTAAATCGAGGGGTGAACAACAGCTGCAACTGCCAGTACCTATGCTAGTATGTACTTAGTAGTGAACAATGATGGTCTTTTTTGGTTCAAGCCTTAGATCACCTGACCTCTAGTTAAGGCCGGGTGCATGACAGCTTTCCAAGAAAAACAAATTTTATAATGATAATGATAAATAAAATAACATAAATCCTAATCCGAAAAAAAAAAAATTTAAATAATAAATTCTTTGAAGGAGTTGATGGTGCATGCGTAATCATCCGCCTTCCTAACAACGCCAACAAATCCTCAGCTCTACTATTGGTGTTGACTACTCTGATAGACAGTGATTGTGCATGCAGTTGTTTCGTCCATACTAGGTAGATCCTTCGGGGAGACGATCGCCGCTATCCGTGAGTTATTAACATCAGCATTCGGCTACGGTCGGGGCTCATCCGGGGAACGATCCTGACGAGAGACCTACTGTAGACCCACAGTGACTAGTAGCATCATCTAATCTCAAACTCGAGATACTATCAACTAAACAGTGAACTGGTAATATAGAGTTTCGCGGCTCTCGTACATCTGCTTTCGGAAAATGCCCTAGACAAGCTGCCAACCACAAACATAGTGCGTTGCAGGGTCAACACGTATACAAGGCAGTTTGATCAATGAATACCCTACTACTGATAAGCACCATGATGGCTGTGCTTCGCCAGGGGTTTGGGTCATTTCGCCCAATAGAAAAGGTTCCAGCGATATTGAGGACCTATCCATTGGTAATCGCTTACCCAATTGCTTATGCCAAGATAAATCAGATTAGGGAGGCATAAAGTACTACGTATATACATATTTACCGGTCCACAGGACCACAGCGTGCGAAGAACTATGGTAGATATTGAAAAGAGCCCCATATACAACTAAACAGGTTAAATTTGGAATAATTAAACTCGTTATAAATATAGTGTAAACCATATTGTTGCAGTGGGAGGCCTTGACCCGGGGTGTAATAAGCCTAGTTTGATATCATCGAAGGCAACGAGGGCAATCATGTATAAGTACTAAGAGGAGGTGCAGAGGTGTTGACAGCCACCTTCCCAAGTAGGCCTAGCCTAAGCGCCACTTGGTAAGGTAGCGGCCTAGACACTCTCAGATATGTACAATGTATGATCACTGACAATTTGCATTTCATCATGAAGCATCGAGTCCAGATACCTCTCTTTTCGTCTAAGCTACCCCTGCCCGATCTCTACACAACTTCCATCCCATGCTTCGCACACACCTGTTCCGAAAATTTCGAGATCGTCAATGTCGGACCCAACAGCTGCTGGAATGATATGTCAAGCGCCAGCTCCTTGAAAATCCAATTGCGTAACTCCGCACCAATCATACTATCAATTCCATAACTCGCCACAGAGCGGCCCTCTTCCTCGAAATCCTCTGGATTCAACATGAGCATGCGAGCCAGCTTGGCAACAAAATGTTGCCGTACGGCATCAACCGCTTCACGGGCTGATAGGTCCTGTAGCAATGTCAGAATGCTCTGGCTACCGCCTGCGGACGCATCGTTGCTTCGTGATTTCATAGCATGGACGGTATGACTGAACCGGACATCTGATGTCCAGAAGGGTTCAACATCGTCTCCTGCCTCCTGAGCCGCTTTTACGAGCTCTGTTGGATCTAAGCCCACTACTAGATGATCCGAGATGCCACCACGTCCCTGCTCGATGATGGCGATCTCGAATGCATTCAATACACCATCTTCGTCGATGCCATACATGCCTTTTCGCTTCAGCGAATCTTCCAGCTCCACATTCTCTGCGACAACACCAATGCCTAGAATCATCGGTAGGATAATAGACACCGAGCTCTTCTGGAGTGCGCAACGGTGTCGTGCAAGTGAGTCCAAATAGGTGTTTGCCGCGGCATAGTTGCTCTGACCGGGCGTCCCCAGGATACCGGACACGGAGCTGATGGTTACAAAGAAGTCCAGAAGGGTGTCTTTCAGGACCTGGTGTAGGTTGCTCGTGCCGGATACCTTTGGGTGGATGGAGGTTGTCCAGTTTTCGTATGGCATGTTGTGAAACAGCCCATCCTTGAACAGGTCAGTCGGGTAGATGAATTTTGATGGTATGGTATGTCACTCACTTTCAGCACCATGGCAGCATTAATAACTCCACGGACAGGACGGTCTTCGGGAATACCACTAAGGGCTGCCTCCACTTCCGCTTTGACGCCAGCGTCTCCTCGGAAGACCTGCACCGTGGCTCCTGCATCCTTCAGCTCGTCTACAAGGTGGGAAGCCTGTCTGGAGTCGGCTCCAGAGCGGGACAGAAATGCAAAGTTGCGGGCTCCCTTCTTCATCATCCACGAGGTCAAGCTCCGACCTAATCCTCCAAGGCATCCAACGAGGAAGTATGTGACATCGGCGCGCAGTCTCAGGCGAGGCCGGGGAGGAAGAAGGTTCACCGTCCTTTCCGATGTTTCATGCATAATGATGGTCTTTCCGGCCTCGAAGCCGTCTGAGAATGATGCAATTGCTTCATCCAAATTGGCTATATTCTTCTGACATAGGGGTGACGGTGCAGAGATGCTGCCCTGTCGGTAGAGATTGATAGTCTCTGCGAGTAGCTGTGCCATGGCCTGCGGCTTGTGCTCGTGGAGCTCCAACAGATCATAGGAAAGGTACTGCGCACCACGGTGAAGTGGAACGGTGTCAAGTGTGCTGCGGGAGAGGACATCCTTCCGACCGCAGTTGATGAAGCGACCAAAAGGTGCGATATATCTCCAGGCTTCTCGTGCCACAGATGCAGCCACCCAACCAGATGAAAAGATGATATCAGCCTTATAATCACCATTCGCATGTCGGAGTCTGGAGACCTCCGAACCAACGAGAACCTGATTAGCGTCAAGCTTAAAGTGGGATCGTACATAGTCCGCCTGTGCCGGGCCATCGACGATCACATATGGATAGCCACCCGCGGCCTGGGTGATGTGCACGGCAGCAGCCCCAGCTAATCCAGTCCCCGCCAAAACAAGGACCACCTCACCCGCTTGAAGGTGTGCAAGTGTTTGCAGACCGTATAAAGCTGCTCCGTAAGCCATGGGAAGGCCAGTCATCTCCGGTAGAGACTCTCCCGGATCGAGCTTCTGTAAAAGACTTTGATGAACTCGCTGTACCGTGGCAAACTTGTCGAAGCTGAATCCAACGACCTTGTCACCTGCATTAAATCCGGTTGCTGCAGCCCCAGCTCTGATCACAGTACCGCCTATCTCATGGCTGAATTCAGTTGGAAAATCTGCTCCTGAGATGATAACTGCATCCTCCTTGTTCAACCCAGTCGACAGCACGCGGACTTCGACCAATTCAGAATCAAGAGGATCCTCAGCCCGGCTATCCATCTCGAAATATATTCTTCCAGACTGTAACTTTCCAACTATGGGAAATTGCGGGTCAAAGATCGTCGACCGCGGTTTCATCTCATCGAGCGAATACGTGTTGTTAATGATGTCGCTAGGAACAAGTCGGCTAATGAAAATTTCGCCTCGGGAAACACAGTATTCATTATCAACTGACCGTGGGCTATGGATTTGGTCCATAACCTTCTGTCCCAAAATGCGGAAGAGGTCATCGTTCGACGTCGTTTCCATGTCAAAGTCGATCAGCGTCGCATTTAGAGAAACTTGTTCGGAGGTGAGAGATCGGATCAAGCCCGATGCCATGGCGCTCTCTGCATTTTTGCCCGCCAGAAGACCACCTGCAGTAATCCAAAGGAGATCCTTAGCCGTGTTTGTGATTCGTTGCAGCCCGTGAAACTCCTGTTCAGTGATATTTTGAAGGAGCGGTCCCTCGAGGTCAGCGAGCACAAGAACGACACCACCTGCATCAACATAGTCAACAATGCTACTTGTTATGGTGTGACACCGACGGTCTTCCAACATAATGCGAACCCCATTCATAATATCCGAGAGCTTTTCGCGATACACCAGATGGACTGTGTGAGAAGAGGCGCCATTAGCATGGCTCGTACCATTGGGTGTCGCATCTTTGCCAGGCAAGACAATTGTTGAGCCGTTTCCTAAGGAGATGCATGTGCTAGGAATATTAAGTTCTGGGTATCTACCGGCAGGTATTCCATCAACGTCAAGAACGGCCTTCCCGCCTGGAGCAAGAAGCCTTTGTACTATATGGATATTGCCATGCCAATCGTTGGGCGCAATCAGCAGATCGTAGGATCCCTCCTTTATCGATTGACTTTCCAAGTCCTCGAAGAGGTCCCATTTTTGTATAGTCAAGCCTTTGACACCCTTAAACCTTGTTGACATATGATCAACGAGCTCAGTTGTAGGCGCCACTGCAGTTACCGTGGATGCTGAGGGTAACTTGGCCAGCACAGCTTCCACAGTTTCTTCTCCTGAAATTAGAATCCTCGAACCTGGTTTCTTGAAATAGACCAGTTCTGCAAAGGAAGCAATATCTAAATCGACCTTTCCACGTAAGGAGTCAACATCTAGTTTCCATACCATCTCCCCATATGGTTGAGGCTTTGCCGGCTCGCCAGCTTGCTGGGGTACGGCAGCTTCGTACGCCATGCATCTCATGTTTTTTATCTGCATGAGAAGCTCGCCGTCGTCAGCTTTTAGCTCGCTATGGCCATTGAAAGCTCGGACCCCGCGGGGGGAGATCCATGAAAACGCGGTCGCTTTCCCGCCATCGACTTGCTCGGCAGTAGGCTGCCAGATCGTGACTTCGTCCACTTGGATAGGCACAGCACCCGACGTCATCATGGTGCTGCGGCCAGCCCAGTTAGCCACAATTAAAAGCTGTAGGCAAGAATCAACAGAGGCAGGGTGGATGACATGTCGTGATTCCCCTATCATCCCTTCTACAGTGGTCTTGACACGGGTATCGCAGGTGGCAGCGTAGGTCTTGCCATCAAAACGGATGTTCTCCATATCCTGGAAAGTTGGACCATAGTAGAAACCAACAGTATTGAGAGCCCGATTCCAGGACTTGCCTGAGGCACGTTGAGGGAGGTTAGGGACAACTTGCATGGAGGGTCCGTAGCGACGGGTGGTGATAGCGATGCTCCCGGCCATATGCTCCTTTAAGTGTCCGCCCTCAGCAACGGAAGAAACATTGAAGTCCCACCAGAGGTTTTGGTCCTCGGTCGGGGCATAGGTGGAGGGACGCATGTTGAGCATAACCTCAATGCCAGTATCATCATCTGGTGTGACAAGCGCTTGTTTGATACTGACATCTCGGAGCATGTATCCCTCGATGGAGGTCGTCAAGACGGCTCTCTCAGTAATTTGCGTGATGGCTTCCATTGCCATTGAAAAGTATCCAGCCGCGGGGAAGACTGCTTCTCCGCCAAGCGAGTGATCTTTTAGCCAGGGCAGGTCACGAATACGAAGAAAGTTCCTCCATGAAGGTTCTGCCAGCGAACAGCCTGGCACCAAAGATCCCAAGATATCATGCCGCATAAATCTTGCCTGTCGGTGCTCGTGACTCTCGCGCCCTTCCGCCCAGAGCCTTTTGGATTTGTCCCATTGGTATGGGGGAAGGTCGACAATCAGGCTGCCCTTGGAGCAGAAAATCTTGCCACTCGGAGAAGCCTCTTCGATCGCAGTCGCACGTTCGACATTGAAAGGATAATCACGTAGTAACAGCTCCCCCGCCAGCTTCAGCAGCGAGGTAGCCGAATGTTCATTTCGAACCAGAGAAGGAAGATACTGATGCTTCTCAAAGCCGTACTCGGTCTTCGTCTGACGAATCGGACCAGCAAGTGCTGAGTGAGGTCCGACTTCAATAAGTGTGTCGATGTGGGAGAATTCAGCGCTCGAGCAGATGATATGAATAGCCTGTGTGAACAGGACTGGGCTCAAAAGGTTTGCACTCCAATACGTTTCGTCAAGCACAGTGGTATCTGAGAGAACCGTGCTGGTAACAGACGAGACCATCCTCACATTTCTCGCAGAGGTTTTGGGGCCGTCCAAGTATCCAGCTTTCCTAGCGCGCCTGACTAATGCCTCATATTTGCTTGCTGCTGGTTTCATGTGGTAGGAATGGTACGCCTTGCCACCCGTTTTCACAAGTCGTGCAAAGACATTTTCAGCCGTCAGCCTTCCCTGTATGGCTTCGAGAGCTTCGGCGTTGCCACTCAAGGTGACACCCATCGGGGAGTTATGACATGCCACAACCACAGACCCACCGTATTCCTTGATATACGGACTCACAGCTTCTGCTCCGAGCCCGACAGCAAGCATGGATCCGTTGGTATTGATATCACGCACGACTTTACCGCGGTAGTACGCCAGGACGATAGCTTCTGCAGCTGATATAAGTCCAGCGGCATATGCAGCCGCTATTTCACCAGATGAATGCCCACACGTAACGGATGGAGTGATTTCCCATAGTCTCAGCAGTTGAACTAAAGCAATCTGCACTGCGGTGCACAGGGGTTGCGAAAATTCGGCCATGTTGACACGCGACGTTTTCGCATCTTCCAATAGAGCGTCCTCCAGCGTCCACTCTGGGGCATCTTCGAGTTCCTCTAGGACCGTATCCATACGTTTGATGCTCTGGAGGAAGCTGGGGTAGTATGTCATCAACTCTGCACCCATTCGGGCCCACTGAGCCCCTTGCCCTGTGAAGACAAATGCCAGCGCTTCGGCCTTCTTCTTGTCTGCGAATACGAATTGCTGCAGGTCGCCATCGAAAGTAGCTTCTTTTTGGGCGTTCGTTGTAACGGTGAATGCCCGACTAGGGAAGCGCGTACGACAATTGGCGAGAGTATGGGAAAGATCAAGCAGATTGTACTGTTGGACCACTGATCCATGTGCTTCAATATTCCGCTTTAAGGTCGGTTTATCGTGAGCTGAGAATGGTAATAGAAATGGCCGGTTTCGTTCAAGGGCTTTCCTGGTTATGCGGGCTCGGGGCCTACAATGGCGACCAGTATACCTGTACAGTTGCGGCGCCATAAGCAGGGAGTCAGCTGCTTCTATAATGATATGTGCGTTCGTCCCTCCATATCCAAATGAATTCACGCTCACTCGCCTAACGGGGATATTGGCTGGGAAAGGCACTGGCTCAGTTGGAACCTTGACCTTCCAACCCTTCCAATCTATCTTTGAGTTCGGTTTGGTCACTCCTCGAGTAGGTGGGATGATGCCGCGCTCAACCGCCAGAATAGCTTTGATGACGGCGGAGAGCCCACTAGCAGCTTCACTATGACCGATGTTTGTCTTTACAGCGCCAATCATCAACGGTTCGTCGTCTTCCGACCGCCAGTCATTCATCGAATCTGCCACTGCGCGCACCTCCAGTGGATCACCAATTGCGGTTCCAGTGCCATGACACTCAAAATACCCCGTCAATGCTGGGTCCAGTGGTCCCCCACGCTGGTAGGCATGCTGAATAACGGCACATTGACCGGCATAGCTGGGGTGAGTGATGCCTACGCCGGAAACTTTACCGTTGTTGTTTGTTGCACTGGATCGGATAACCCCTCGGATTGGGTTTCCATCACGGACGGCATCACTGAGTCGTTTCAGGTAGACAGCACCTACCCCCTCTGCACGGCCATAGCCACTGGCGTATTCGTTAAAAGTGTGACAGGTGGATGTAGGCGACAAGACACCTAATTTGGCAGTGTTCATGTGCTGGTCGACGGTCAAGATAAGGTTCACTCCACCCACGACAGCAGCAGAGCACTCCTTAGTTCGCAGTGCATTGCAAGCGTTGTGGATTGCGTATACAGACGAAGAACAGGCAGTGTTGACCACGATGCTAGGGCCCTGGAGGTTGAAGACATGACTGATCCTGTTACTGATAATCCCGGGATCAACGCCAGTAGCAGCTAGACTGTGTCGGAAACTATGTTCTTTGAACGACATCTGTTGGAAGTCGGAGGTAAAGGTTGCCATAAAGCAGGCGGTATCGGATCCTGAAACCTGCTGCAAGCTGACGCCAGCTGATTCAAACGCCTCATAGACCACTTCGAGGAGCTTCCGTTGCTGGGGGTCCATCCACATCGCCTCCACTGGAGTTAGGCCAAAGAAACTAGGATCAAATTCTTGCAACGTTTCGTTCAAGAAATAGCCACCTAACACACCAAAACTACCAGGGCGGTCGTTATTCTCATGAAAATGTGCGTCGACATTGAACCGCGAGGGGGGCACTTTTGGCGTCTGGCCAGTCTCCCGGTTGAGCATCATCTTCCAGAAATCGGCGGGCGAGGTGACGTCCCCTGGAAGCCGACATCCTGTTTTATAGTTAACGCTACACTCGCAAGAATGCATACACTTGTCATGTCCTACCCATTCCGATGACTGCAATAGGTTCCAATTGCTCGCTCAAAGGCGGCTCGTTCCTTGTAGCTCCATCGCCCCCAGCATACTCCCAGTCGTTTACGACTCGCTGGCTGTTGTAAAGCACCTGGGGAGTGAATTCGGAATCAGATGCTCCCGAGGAGGAGCTGTCTTTAACATAAGGCATTGTCGTCTATTTTTACAATAGCGGTTGATGAATGATAAAAGCTGTATGAATCCTACAGCCTCCGAGCGTGAGAGGCCAAATATATACCTCTTTCCAGGGTGGAACATAGCATATTCTTTCCTACACACCGAGACTTTCGTATGTATTCTCCTCCCCTTGGCTCTGGAAGGTTAGCGGAAAGTTTCTACAGAAGCTGCTTTCCCCGCAGGCATGTTCCGGAACTTCGCAGATATCACCGTCCAATTCGTTCCGTGACGGACGTCGGTGTCCGTCGCTCTCCACCATACGAAGACGACTGCTTGACGAACGGCTCCCGGGGTGGCTCAAGCAGACGGGAGGATTGATATCCCAGCCACCCTAATGTTGGCAATTAAGAGTATTGTGCGGCTTACTTATGTTGGGGGCGTAAGCCGGACTGTGCACGATGAAGACGGGTCAGAAGCGGCCGATACCTTCAAGTTTTGCATCCCACACCCGAATTCCTCACATTCTGATACAATGGTCCTTCCGTTGAAAAGGCCGAATAGGATAAGACAGCGCCAATCATGGCAGGGAGGGGAACGCATGGAACCTAAAGGAGGGGGCGATCGCGTCAGATTCTTTTCGTCAGTCTTGGGGTTTTAACGGACGCCAAATTCCAATCTTAGAAGTGTTGTTGACATTTCCACATTGTACCGAGTTATTCCATTTGACAGATATTAGTGGCAGCTATTATGGAGCAGGTAGACGTCCTTGTTGTGGGTGCTGGTGAGTGTAGCAACCAATATTCTTGTATACGCGTCTCACTTCCACTAACCCCGCCAGGTTGGTATGGATTGGTAGCAGCACAAACGTACCTGAAGCTTGCCCCAGAGACTAACCTTCTCGTGGTGGACGATGGGGAGACAATTGGTGGGATCTGGAGTCAGGAGCGGATCTACCCCAGTCTCTACGCGCAGATCAACTATCCTCTCTTTGAGTACTCCTTCTATCCGATGAAGAAGGAAGGTATCTCTTCGGACGGCTTCATCTCCGGGCAAGCTATCCACAACTACCTGGTCAGCTTCGCCAAAGATCATGATCTCATGCGTCACGTTCGCCTTCAGACTCGTGTGACTCAAGTGCGCAGAAATGCCAACCACCAAGGCTGGATCGTGGAGACGCAGTCTGGAGAGCGACCAATTGAATGCAATAAGTTGATCTATGCCACGGGGGCTAATTCCAGCCCAATCCGACCGGAATGGCCTCGAGAGAATTTCGATAAACCCGTCATCCACTCTCTAGACATGGCCACAAATTTGTCCCTAGTTGAGAGCGACGCAATCCAGCGAGCCACAGTGGTGGGAGCTTCAAAATCATCTTATGACACTGTATACCAGCTGCTCAAAGCTGGGAAGAAGGTTGACTGGATTATCCGACCCAGTGCCTCCGGAGCGTTTTCCATATTCGCCCCGACGTTCATGGGTTTGTGGCATATATCGGATCATATCTCTACTCGATTTGCATCCAGCTTTAGCCCTAGTATCATGAGTTGCACTGGGCTCTGGGATAGCTTCTTGCAACGCACTATGGTTGGGAGATCACTTACGCGTGTCTATTGGCAAGTTGCCACGGGCCTGGCAGCGAGATATGCGCGGTTCGGGGATAGTGAACATACCGAGCATCTGCGGCCTTGGCCTCACACGGATGGGTACGGGCTTTCTCTCTTGTTGTGCAATCGAGCTTTATAAGCTGACTCCCGGATATAGACTTTTCTGGGGCAGTGGGGGTATCGGGATCGCGACCGTGCCCGACTTTTGGCAGGTCATCCACGACGGCGACGTCACCGTGCATCGCACGGAGATAGAGTCACTCTCGCACCTTGATGTGGTCAACCTGAAGAACGGATTTTCCGTGCCAACTGACATAGTGATTCATTGCACTGGATTTGAGAAGGGTTATAGCACGTTCAGTCCGCTGCTGCAGGAAGAATTAGGTCTCCATTACGACTCCTCCTCGTTTTCCAGGTGGACGGTGTTGGATGCGCAAGCAGAACAGAAGGTAAATGCACAGCTGCCCATTCTGAACAACTCCCCTTTCGATTCGCTGGAGCACAAAAAGCATAGTCAAGGGCCAAATCGGCATTACCGTCGTCTCATCGTTCCAGAGCTGGCAGCCAAAGGGGACAGATCGATCTTATTTCCAGGTCACATCCACTCTGCCTTCACGCCGCTGGCAGCAGAACTTCAAGCCCTTTGGGGGTTTGCGTTCTTGAACGGCTGGATGGAAGTTCCTGGACAGGAGGAAATGGAGGTGGAGGCGGCAACCTTTAACGCGTGGACCCGCAAGAGATATATTGAACAGGGAAAGAAACATTCATACTTTATTTACGACTACATCTCGGTAAGCTAGCCACCCCCTACGTGATACCGTGTCATCGATATGCAATACTGACAGGGGTCAATTCTGCCTTAGTACTTGGACACTCTCATGAAAGATCTTGGCCTCAATCCACGCCGGAAGAAGACTTTTTTCGAAGAATGGTTCATTCCGTACCGGCCACAAGACTATCGAGGTCTAATTCAGGAGTATTTGACCGTCCATTCACGTAGAATTCCCGAGGAGAAGGAAACGCAAAACCAAGAAGTGAAGGTGGTTCCATCCAAGAAAGGAAATGAGCTGTCAAATGGACATCGAGAGTTGACTGGAGATGATGAGCTTACACGGAGTTGAGGCGGCCGATATGGCGGTAAGACACGGAGTTGGAGCGGCCGTTCGGAGCCCTAACTGGCCATTTTGGGAATTCTATATAAACAGATAGATGCAGCAACGCCCGAGTAAAGTGTTCTGTCTTTTGAAATTTTGTATATTGTAAGCTTAAATGTGGATGATTCAATAATTTCTACTTCTCACTACTCCCCTTCACCATGCCTTTCGTCGATGCAGACCCAGAAAAACAGGGTAGCAACGGCAATGTTTCCAGCACGGGCTCCAGCGAGAATGTCGTTCCCAAAGATACGTCGCCACGTCCAGTTCATGGATGGAAGGTATCCTTCTGTTAGCTCTTGTTATGAAGGTTGTAACTAATTTTGATGTAGTGGGCCATTGCGTATGCTTCAATGATCTCGACTACGTTTCTATTCGCATTGGACAATACCATCGTACGTAACCATATTTCCCCATACCCTAGTTCCTTGTATAAACAAATGCAAGAGAATATAGCTAAAGGATGAAAAAACAGGTTGCCGACATTCAACCCGTGATCCTCGACTTATTCGGCGAAGTGTCACTTCTTCCATGGATCGGAGTGGGGTTTGCTCTCGGCACTATGTGCGTACTACCATGGGGCAAGGTCTACGGAGTATTCAACGTCAAATACGTCTATCTGTTCAATATCGCACTGTTTGAAATTGGAAGTGCAGTGTGTGGCGCGGCCCCAAATATGACTGCCCTTGTGGTCGGCCGTGTCATCGCCGGGGTGGGCGGATCTGGGATGTACTCGGGGACGCTAAGTTTTGTGGCCATGTTGACTTCGCTGAAAGAGCGACCAATCTATATGGCTGGAAGCACCGTTATCTGGGGAATCGGAAGTGTTCTTGGCCCGGTGGTAGGTTTATCCATCATCTTAAGTATATTTGATGAATGATTGAGCACGGCGATTGATGGTTCTAGGTCGGTGGTGCGTTTGCAGATAGCTCTGCGACCTGGCGATGGGTAAGTTATCCTAACATCTGACAAAGATCATTTAACTTCTACTCATATGTATAATCATTCTAGGCCTTCTACATCAATCTCCCTATCGGGGCCGTCTTCGCCCCATCCTATCTCCTCCTTGTCCCCAGTGTCGACCCGCAGCCGTCCAAAAGCTGGGCAGAAAAGTGTCGTATGGTAGACTGGATCATGACAACCATGTTCCTTGCAGGATCTGCCAGTCTGGTTATGGCTATCACGTTCGGTGGCACGCTGTATGCCTGGAGCTCCGGGAACGAGATTGCCCTCTGGGTTGTAGCGGGAGTCCTTCTAATCGTCTGTATTGGCCTGGCGAGAATCCATCCAGGCGTGGATAAGGATAACCGGCTCTATCCAGCGCATTTCTTTAAACGACCTATCTTGGTCAACCTTCAGCTGCAGATGTTCTTGGTGTCTGGTATTGTGCTGGTGTGTAATACCCCTTCTCTCACTGACATTGGGCTGCCTGATACTAATAGCACATAGGCAATGACTTACTACATTCCATTGTTCTTTCAATTTATACGAGTTCGTGACCTATGTCCTTGATAGAGACATACTAATACAGAACTAACTGATAATGTACTCACTAACAGGGAGACGGCCCCTTAGACGCAGGCGTCCGCCTCCTCCCCTTCATCATCTCCATGGTCGTCTTCGCCATGGGCAACGGAGCACTAATGCCCAAACTACCCTACATCCTACCCTGGCATCTCTTCGGCAGTGCACTCGTCGTTGCCGGAACAGGACTACTGTGTCAGTATTCACTTGTCCTCCCCCAAGTCCATAATCATAACACACAGAATAATAACTAACAAAAGATGGGAGGAATGGGGAACATACAGACACCGCAGACCTCAATACCTCCAACGCCAAAATCTACGGATACTGTATCCTTGTCGGCGCCGGATCAGGTTGCTACGCTGTCGCCGGGTTCGCCGTCGTCCAATCCCTCGTTCCACTAAAGGAGATACCGAATGCCGTGGGTGCAATGGCTATTTGTATGAAAGCCCCCGGTTCTAAGTTAATCCGCGCTTAGGATATATGAGTATACTAATATTTTGTGATACTGTTATAGCTCAGGATCTAGGCATGGTTATCTTCCTTGCTATGGCTGGGTCTATTTATCAGAATCTTGCGTTGCAGAAAGTGGCCCAGACCATGCCTGCGCTGAGTGCGGCTGATATCACGAATCTCGTTGCTGGGACTAGTAGTCGGACGTATAAGGCGTTGTCGGAGGAAGAAAGAGCTCTGGTCACACCCCAGATTACGGATGCCATGAGTAATGTCTGGTTGTTCTTTTTGGTGGCTGGGATATTGAGTTTCGTGCTTACGCCTCCTTTGGGGGTGAGTTAAGTCCTCTATAAGCGTTTAGGGCATGTGGGACTAACTAGTGGGTCTTATAGAAAACTAGGCTAAAGGGAGCGAATGCCGCTGAGGGAGGGGCTTGAAAGCTGTCAATTGGGTAGAGGGATTGTTTAGGGCAGTAGGGATCTGGTGGAAATAATGGGGATAATACAAATTGGGTCTTTTCCTGCTTTGCTAGGGAGAAGAGTTTTTCATTTGTTCTCGGGTTTTACTCATAATTAAATGTTAATACAGGTGTTTTTTTGTTTCATATCATGGGTATAGAGCGAATTTGCAATGGCATACGCTGAACAACTAGCGTACCAAGAGGCGTCTATAAAGCCAAGTCACTTTCAAGATTCATGAAATATTATATTCATCTAATCGTACAGAGAGCCCTATCATGCCAAGACCATAGCTTCTAATGAGACAATAAATGGTATAATTCCCGTTACAGACTCCAAGTAGAGCCTACTCCTTCCAAAAGAGATCCCAAGCAAGACATCATCCAAAACACAACCCTCAATGCGTAGCAGCCCAATCATCAGGCAACCTCAAGCCCTTCGGCAGACGATACTGCCCGACGCAAGAGCCCGGCGACACACACCGATCAAGTCCACACCTCCCATACAACCGACAATAACAATCCTTGGCAGAAGGACAAGCCTGACGATTCAACGCCTCCAAATCCACCCCCTCCGAAACCCCCGACACAGGATTCTGATCAATAAACAAAATATGCCAGACGTAGGACAAGACACGGCCGGAGGTGCGATCATCTAGCGGCGCCGCATTGCGATGAGTCCCCGCATCCAACAACCACTGTCGCAACGCGACATACTCCTCCCTGGAATGGCGACGGATGTTATCCCTTGCGGCGACGAATTGCGCGCAGCATTGCGAGCGGACGGTGTGCGTGCGACCCAGCTTGGCCTGCCTGCTGGCGCCAGGGCCGAATAGGGCGTGGAGGGCTTTGGGGAGCGCGACGTCGGATACGGCGCGCGCACTCCAGGGTTGGAGGACGGCTTTGAAAGCGTTTTGGAGGCCGCCTTGCGGTGGGACATGGGAGGGACAGGTGCTGAGACTCCAGTCGCAGCGGAGGTTGTGGTAGCCCCATGGTTCCAGGGCGGTGGGGATGTTGAGGGCGGCGAGGAGGTCGGCGTTGTCGTACTCCGGGTGGTCGTTGTGCCATGCGAAGCGGGATCCGTGGGCGAAGACGGCGCCGCGCGTGGGGATCTGATCGTAGTTGTCGATTATGAAGGTCAGGTAGGTCATGGATTCGTGGCCGCGGTTTGCTGGGACCTGCAGGTATTTGGACTTAGGGTCCTCGGGTGCGTCGACGGCGTAGACGCAGAGGTGGTACTTATTGTTTAGGGCTTCGAGCCAGGAGGGATCGCCGTCGGCTTCGACTCGGGATATCACGAGGGCTGGTTTCGAGGATTCTTTGAGGCCCGGGCAGATGCCGCGGGCCGGTGGGAGAACCCCCGAGTTCGTTTGGTAGGTGACTTTAGTCCATGGGTATGTTTGGGGGTTTTTCTTGAGGGGCGATGGTGAGGACGAGCGGTTCAGGAAGAGGATGAGGAATAGGATACACCCGAACACGGTGAGGTGGGTGAGGGATTTTCGAAATTTGCGTCTCATTTTTTTACCGGATCATCTTTAATTGGAGGTTTTATAGGGATACTGTATATTATGGTATATTAGGGTGGGTGGTGAAGAAGCTGAAAAAGCTTCACATTCTGTGCTCGAGGTGAGAGAGAAACTCGGGACTCGATTCAAAAGAACCGCGTGCGGAGATTTGGCTCCAGATTCCGGTGTACCCGAATTCTTATACACAGTAGCCCCCATTCCTACAGAACGGCTAAGGGGATGATCTCCACTTTCAGTTCACTTTTACATGAGCCTACACCTATAAATCTAACTTAACACATAAAAAGAACAAAAAGCTCTAATTAACAAAACAATCCAATTGTGACAAGTCAAAATTTGCTAAGCTAGGCTCTTCCATGTGGCAATTGATTGGTTGGATCTGCATTTCTGAGCCCAGGTTTCAACTTAACCGTTTGTGGACCACGCCCAGCTTTCAAGTTCGGTTCTACTGATCTATAGTAACAGTAAGGGATATTGAATATTCATGATTGATAATTGAGTATCTATTTGACGTCACATCATATCCACAGACGCATTCTCTTTGGAGCGTTTTCAACCAGGTAAACTATATGTAGGAAGGCTCACCTGGATGAGCGAATGCTAAATACAGGGCAAGTCCACGACGCTAGAGCTCAACCGGTATTTCCTCAAAGCCTCACCGAGTCCAAATCGAAAGACACTTAAATGTCGGCGCTGACAGTGATGATCGCGTCGTTGTAATCATCATCAATGTTATCTTCGCTCGCAATCTTCCACTCCATTTTTTGAACTTTGTAGTCGGCATCGTAAACGGTGTTGTAGACCGGACGCAGCACCTTTGACGTTCTAAAGGAGTTCTCTGCACCAGAGATCGAGTTCTCGAAGTCGAATCTCCATGTGCGAAATCCAGGGTCCTCGATAGCCTCAAGGTCGACGCTCTCCTTTCCTCCCGCAAGTGTCATGGCCTTGCCTTCACCGCTGCCTTCGAAGATGTACTTGCCTTTGCCAATCTCCTCGACGGTGACCCTTTGGCGGAAGTCTGCATTTGCCTCGCCGACGATGTGGACTTTTGCATTCTTCGGGATGGAGATGATTACTGGGCCTTCGGGGTGGATCATGTTGTCGCTGGGTTGCATTTTGACGAATTGAAAGGGTCTAATATAGAAGACTTAGTGGTAAGCTAGAGGGGGTAAGCAACTAGGATAAGAGCTGTATCTAAGGAATGCAGCAGACCTTAGAGTAGGTTGAGGAGCCTTAGGATCTATCGAGTGAGCATGAACTTGAGCTTGGGTAGATTAGCTATTCAAGGCCGGCAACACCTGGGTTTATATGCTTCAACAGTCGATCGTTCTGTTTCCTTTGCCAGCTTGGATCGTAATAATAGTGGCGCCACGTACACCAGAGACAAATTCAACATTGCAGGCTGTGTTCGATGGAGATCAAGAAACAATCCCTGCCATCACGGGTCGTCACACATGTATCCTGTATGCGTAAATGCCTGAAAGCTTCCTAGACAAGCGACATTCTCCAGATTTGAAAGCATGTGCCAGCAGATGCAAAAATATGGAGGAGAAAAATCTTTCCAAAGACAGTAATAGAAGCCATTCGACTGCATATCCCGACAACGGGCGACCGGATTACCTGGGACAATACTTGCGATACGTCCGATATATACAGCGCGGGCGGTGAATTGGCCGGCGTGGCAAGCCGCCTAGTGACCATTCTCAGTCAATGCCTAGCGTTGGAGGTGAGGACTTTCGTATGTTATTTGTCTCTCTCAACCATGGCAGCGCCACCAGCAGACAAATCATACAATTTCCCCGACAGAAATCCTGAAGTGTGAATCTAAGAGGCCCACTCAGAGCATCCGAAATGTAGCAGTGCCTTAGCAGATGTAGGTTTCTCCAGAAAGGATCATAACATTTGCCCAAAATGTAGAGCGATGGGGATAGGGTGACCAAGTTGTGGTTCTTTACAAGTGTTAGTTGGGCAAGAACACGGAGCAGTGGATGCGAAGACGGGCAATAGGAACCATAAGACCAATCAATGAGAATATTCGCATCTTGAGGGGTTTTCCTTTGCTTATCTACCTACGTAAGGCAAGCCCTACACCCCTGCAACCTGTCAAAAGTGGGATGTATCATGTACCTCTTCCTTCACCCCGCCAATAACTAGGCAACATCATATGCAATCAAGCAACACTAGGACAACATTCACGTAGTAGTCGAGGCACGCAAACTACACAGAAGATAGAAATGGCTCGGTTGAATGCTCGCGACAATAGCGCATGTCTCAGGGATATAAATTGATTTCATTCGCACTTGTCGACGATATCATAGAAACGAAACGGGAAGAATGCCACAGTTAGGTCTCGTCAATGAGTCGATAAACTCATAAATGCCTTACCCGTGCTTGCAGGCCATCACTGCACGTGCCGTCGGCAGATCAAGGAACAACAACGCCTTTCACTTGCATGGGTTCTTGGAATGCCACGCTGGACATGCAGCACGTCACGTCTCTCTTTTGCTGACTTGCCATATTACCCCACTTTCCAAGCTAGGGCTTAGAGGATTTCGAACTCTTGCAAAAAAAAAAAAAAAAAAGGCACGCATTGGACACTGTCCCTCTCCCTGTTGACCAGCATGTACGGACTAGAAGTTGAGGGCTGTGCCACGTCAGGCATATTATGCTACATTGTCGCTAAGCCAGTCTCATGATGTTCAGTACACTTTGAATTTCTCGGCCTTTTGGATTGGATGGAGAGACAAGGATGAACATGTCAGTATGCTTGCAAGTCCGGATATGGCAGAAACGGAAAATATCAGGAAATGCATAATGCAGTCAATATTGGTATCTTGATAGAAAACACTCCTATGGACTGTGGCCCGATGTGATCTGGTGAAAAAGAAGGGTAAGGGAGGGGGGAGAGAGGAAGCGAGAATAGAAAAAAAAGATGCAATACTACTAATAAAGCAGGTGCATCATGCTTTGCTAGTACGACAAGTCGAAACAGAACATCAAGGCTCCCCCTACATGGTGACGAATACAGATGCTATCGCTAATGGCGTCCGATGTGGAAAAAAAAAAAGGAAAAGAAAAGAAAAGAAAAAGAAAAACGAAAATATATCGGAATTCAGGGAATTCCCGACGCAGAGTTATAACAAAAGCATTATCAGTGGGCAATACTAAAGGGCTGTTCCACCAGAGCATGGTTTGCATTGGTCAGGGGCCCTTCGCTTTTTAAAAAGGCCGGTAATCTTCTGGAAAAGAGTTGGCTTATTATTGGAGGGTGAAGTTGTTTCTGTGTGGCTCTTCCAATTCAGCGTAGTTGCTTTGCTCTTGTGTGAGCAGGAAGTTTGGAGTCTGGAAGGGATGGGTTGGTGCTCCGACTGGGAACTTTTGCGCAGGAAGGCTTGTTTCGGTGTCTGGGGCAATGCATTCGCGTTGGATTCAACCACATTAGATTTCATCTTTGCCATGACCGCTTGTTGCAGATTGAGATTACGCTGCGCCTCTTCGGCAGCTGTTAGAACACGCGCGAATCCATTGCCATCGATGATAACTCCGGGCTCGTTTTCACCTGGCCCGGGTTGTAACGGGTCAAGTTCTGCCATAGTCCCTAGCCTATCTCCACGAAAGTTCGACTGGGCAATTGGCTCTGGCTGTCCACATTGAGTGAGGCCACTAGAGACTCCAAAGCTTGGCGAGGTGCTATCAAGGAATGTCGAAGGTGAGGTAAAGCTCGGAATTCCGTTCGAGTCTAAGCCAACATCAGGATTAAGGAATACTTCCATGTCCTCTAATGCCTCATCTGAACTTAGGCCTGAGTTGCATGTGCCAGCAAGGAATGACATCGTATCCTGGTCTTTCGTTTGAGCATCTCTTATGGAACTACCCATCACGTTTTGCTTTTCGTCTTGTGGGGAATCCTTGACTGGTGATTGACTATTTGGTTTTTCTGCATTACTGGTATCGGAGCCAGAGGTAGTGCTCCTTACCTGACTGCACAACGATCCCGATGTGCGCTCACCGGAGTCGGAGCGTGCATCGGAGTGAGATGACTTCAATAATCGCATCGTCTGTCTGCTAGGTTGTTGGGTTAATCCAACACCCGAGTCAAGCTTATCTTTCAAGGCGGCGACCTCGGCGCCAACCTTTGGAGAAAAGTATTTCGAATCAATTTGCGGTACTGTTCCTTCTTGTGCGGCGCTAGAATGGTCTCCTTTCTCACTTCCCAGACGGGTCGACGGCTTAGATGATTGGTTGGCTGGCGGTGACGGCACGCCACGTTCAATTCGGTATACAAGTAATGAGCAAGCATATCTGATGTCCGACTCTAGCTCCGGGCTAATGTATTGACAATGGGTTGAAGGAGATGATGGCTCATTATAGCCGTGGGAGTCCACCAAGTCATAATACCGAGTCGGTTGTTCCTGGATTAGTGAAAATGTGGGTTTCTAAGGGGTGTTTATGAGCCTCTGCTATAAGGGATATTCTGGTCTAGGACATACTTGTATATGTAACAGTTGGGAAATAGATCCACGCCTATTCATACTCGTGCCTTTTCTCCTGAGAATAGATTCCATTGTGGATGACGGAAATACTGAATAAGAATATGGCCACGATGGAGATGTAACACACTTGTATTGAAAGAGGGTACTGATATTGTTTCGAGTAGAGAGAAAAAGAGAGGACAGTGATCACTATTCACCAGGCGATGTCGTTTTATTCGGCTATATCTGGTCTTTGACCAGGCAACCTTAACAATTCGGTTTGACAGTGCAACAAAGCGTTGGGCAACCAGTCCCAACAATGGTCGAGTAAACCACCAAGACGATCACAAATGAAAAATAGGAGAAAATTAATCGTTCACGGAAGGTGTTCCAGAATGAGAGTTGAAGTCGTCTGAAGCGATGACCTGGAATGTGGGGGCAGCCTAACTAGGCTTATATCGAAGGAATGTCGCTACCAAAAAATGGATCCAGATCCAGATCTATGGTCAGTATCCTATGACGAAAGAAATTAAATAGTAACACGGAGTGCGTTTGGGGGGTCAAAAAGTGCCGGGTCGCAAGCCATGCATGAGGGAACACCGATATCAATACAAGGCGACAGGGCAAATAGGCACCGCAGCCCCAGTCGAGGAGGGAAGGATAGTCACAAGCTCGGTTAACACATGAGCGATTAATTGGTTCCCGAGGACATGGCCAAAAGAGTGGCTGCGGCGCAGGTGGAGTGTAGTATCACCAAGGAAAGGAAGCAAAAGCAAAACGGTTAACAATAGTTGAATAACAATATCACGGGACAGTGGAACCTTATGAGTACACTTTGAGTTCCTCAAACTATAAAAATCATAATAACGACTTCAGGCTGTTAGAGTCATCGCCCAGGGAGTTTGAAACAAAAACATGCATTTACTTTCGCTTAGGAAAAAGGAATAAACCCCCAATGGGCGCTCAAGGGATGCCATCTGCCGTGTACAGACTTCAGCACGAAAACCGAATCCGGACCCTCCTGAGCTGCATAACCTCCAAACTGGGGAATTAGTCCAATGATCTTCAAAAGGAAACAAGGAACGGCTTTCTCCACATTTCATGGGGTGGGCCGGGAGATCATCTGGATCAATAAGCCCGGGGATAGATAGCTCATATCTGACCACCTTACATTTCATAACTAGCACCATCAATGTTCATGCTGAGAAGGGTATTGCTATTCTACCATATCTCACCATCGTACAACGATTCTTCTGTTATTGAATTCTTTCTCCTGTTAGCAAGCGAGGAGGCAAAAAGGGAGGGGGAATCAAGGGGTTGGCCGGTGAACGTCCGAGATAGAGATCGTCAATTATCCTCCCAATCGGGCACTTCTAAATCATTGCCCGGCGACTTCAATTACTGGTCCAGTCACCCCATTGGTTATGCAGGGAGACTATAAACTCTGCCTCCCTTTCCTGCATGAGAGAAAAAAAAAAAATTCAAAAAAAAATTTTTTTTTCACAGCAAAAGACTAGTTCTACGAACTTTACGCTTTGTTTGCGCCAAATGTCTCGAACGGCTTACCGGAGTTACAGTAGCCACATACCGATCCAGATACAAAGGCAATGTAAACACATACGGACGTATGGTACAGAGTACCCTGCGTCATTCTAGTTCCAATAATATTACTACTTATATTTGACGGGTCAAACTTGAGTCCGTGTAAGACAGTCAATAGTTTCGCCATAGGTCATGTCCCTTTTGTCTGCATAAGTCTACAAATTCCGCGGTCGAATTGTTGGACGAATAGGCCCATGCGCCTTGGATACTTCTCCGTCCGCCCCCATCTTAGCCCAGGAAAGTCAAATGAAGGAGAAAAAGCAAAGAGACGAGCATTAGCGACAAACCAGTTTCTTATTACACGTATCACATGTCCGAGGTCCCCGGCAAGCGCTCGGAAGTAACCGCCGATCTCTTTCATCCCCAGCAGTTCCCGCGACTTGCGCACGGAATCTCCATCTTCAGAATCCTCAAAATCATACCCCGCACTTGAGCTTCAACTTTCCATTGAGGTCATGCGTTCCCCATGTTTTTTTTCCTGAGGAATTGAGTTCTGTTCGCTGACCAGAGATTAAGGCAGAGTGTGCTTCGACAGGGGGCTCAGGCCCCCCCCCTAAGAAGCAGCTTCAACTCAGTACCGTGGTTGACTTTGAATTGCTTGCCGCCATTTTGTGCGGATGGACAAACGGCGTGGCCTTATGTGGAAAGCTAGATGGGGCAGTCGACGACGCTTCCCCACAAAACTAAAAGCTGTGCTTGCCAGGATAAAGGTGCAGAGGATGACTTGTCAGGATACTCAGCGTTCCTGACATCACCTCTCAAGTCTTTTACCATGGCCTGACACCAGCAACCTGCATCTGGTATCATATGTATGTGTCCGTCTCTTGAAAGTATGCGACTGGATTGCTTGCCCGAAACTCCGTCATAGTACTTGAGGATTATGCGTTTTCTGTGCTTTTATTGCAGATGCTACCAAGGAAGATGCGGAGGCTCTTCGGCAATACTATGTCCGATAGTCCAATGACTGATTAGCTCTCGAGATAAGTTCGCAAAATGGCTTCACAGCACCTGGACAGCTATTCACTGTTCTTGTTTTTTGAGACTACTGCTGAAGCACCTGCCACCTATGATGCCACAAAGCGAAACACTTTACATCAATCAAGCATCATTGGTCTAGTGGTAGAATTCATCGTTGCCATCGATGAGGCCCGTGTTCGATTCACGGATGATGCACTGATCTTTCTTTTTGCTCATATACTTTCTGGATGTCTCTCATACTTTTTATTTTACCTTTTAGTTGCCTTCTCTAAAAGACTAGTTGAAAACCTAAATTACGCTCGTGCTATACGTTCAAACCTAGCCGTACGTGGTTACGAGTAACGCCTACGGTTTGTCTTGTAAGACGCAATCTTTACAGGCTACTACCTGAGTTCCCTCATTTTATTATCGATCAATGATAATACCAAATCCCAAATCAAATAATTCAATTCGCATGTTTTCTAGCACTGATGGTTGACATCTATCTACTATGCTATTGGAAAATCTATTGATTATGTTGAAAGATCGCCCACCACCCTACTAAGGACCCCCTAATTGAGGGGGAACACTTTGGAAAGGGCTATTGATGGAGAGCAGTTGGATGCTTCTTTTACAGCCTTACCTGTTATCGAGGTACGAGAGAGGCAGTTGGATGCTCAACTCTCTGACTGGCTAGGAAAGATAATAACAAAGACTGCACCGCTACTTCCCCGGAAACTAGATGCGAGCGGGATGAGGGCCCGCGGCGTACCCTCTCTCTCGGTTGTTAAAACGAGAGAAGGTACGGTGACCCCTAGTAACCCAGAGAGCATCGATCGATAAAAATAAGGCTGCAACGTATGCGCCAAACAAGTTTGGAAACCATTCTTATCGCTTTACCAGGCGGTGATATCTTCCACCTCTGCCTCTCCGAATGTGCTGCTCTTGGTTAGCTTATTCACCCCGTCCACTGCCACAGCCCCGTCAGCTGGAGCTTTGGACATGATGTCCGGCAAGACTTCGCGGAAGAACTCGAGAATGTAGCGGTTGACTTGCTCAAACTGGAGGAGGAAGGCATCGTGGCCCTCAGGACTTTCGATTCGTTTGAGACGTGAGTCCGGAATGCCGGCTGCAATCTCTTTCTGCTCCTCAAAAGTGAATAGACCGTCACTCTCAATTCCCAAAACCAATGCTGGCTGTTGGATTTGCGACAGGGCCTCACGGACTGGATCACTCGATGTTGGGCTAGCCCGTTGCCTTGACACGTCATGAGTGTCCAGCTTGCGTGTGATGGCAATGTAACAGTTAGCATCGAACCGTTTCACAAATTTCTCTCCCTGGTAACGAAGATACGACTGGGCGGAGAAATAGGTTGGCGGACGCTTCTGACCGCTCTTTAGTTCGGTATCAATGGTTTTGCTGAAGGTTTTGGTTCCGGAGAACTGGGGGTCCATGTACTGAACTTCAGTCTGTTGCGGTGTGGGAGCGGTAGGAGAGCTGCGTCCACTAGGTGTCGAACGACCGCCTTTGTGCCCATCATTATGAATAGCCCAGTGCTCATTCGGGGGTGTAGGCAGCTTTTCAGTGCCCTTGATGTTTTGTTGCTTGGTAGGGTCCGGGACATTTCGCCCAAATCGAGATTCAAACGAGTTGCGGCTCCGGTAAGTGAGAAGAGCGGACATGCGAGCTGCACCAAGACCAGTAGCAGGAGGATCGTCAAAAGAGTAATAGCCGTCCTCGTACTTAGGATCGCTATAGATGCTTTGGCGCTGGGCCTCTCCCCAACTTATGCACCATGCGGAATGCCGCGGAGAGGTGGCAATCGGCACAATCGCTCGTACATAATCTTTACCGAAATAGGCATACTCCAAAGTGAGCATACCGCCCATGGAGCCGCCCACAACTGCAGCAATCTGTCGGATACCCAGATAATCCAGAACGACCTTGTGGAGCCTATACCTTTGTGTGAGTTGCCTTGCACACTTCGAAATTCCCCATATAACCAATCACATACCTCACGTCATCACGGACTGTAGTAAGTGGAAACTCCGGCCCATACAATCCCTTTTCGGGATTTCCATCCTTGTAGGTCACGGCACTGGCGCTTCCGTACGGGCTACCCAAGCTATTCAAGCAGATCACGAAAAATCTAGATGTGTCGAAGGCCTGTCCGGGACCACCCAGAAGTGGACCCCACCAATCTGCGACATCCGCACTACCGCTCAGAGCGTGGCAGATCACCAAGGCGTTGTCTCCGGTCTCGGACAGTTGACCCCGCGTAGTGTAGGCCACTGGGACATTGTACAACGTCACGCCCGATTCTAAGGTGAACGAGGGGATCGAAACAAACAACTGATCCGTGATGAGGTTTGAAAAAGGGTTCTCAGGTTGAGAGTCGAGTCTCTCTACGGGATTTAGTAGCTGTTCATGTTCATAAGTCATAGTGGGGCACGGGGATACTGACGGGGTTGTGCAGGCGCACTGTTCGATTCAGCGGCCATTTTGAACAATACGTTCAAGGAAAAAGAACACAATTAGGATCAAACAAAAAGAAATGTTTGCGGATTGAAATAAAGAAATTTGTGACAAACAAAAGAGACGGGGAAAGAAAATCAGAACGAGAGATGCACAGATCTCACATTATGACTCTTTGGAGCCTGACCCACTAAAGGTGCGTATTCGTCATACGGAGCCAATGGGAATCCGGGAAATTCCTTGACCCCGACCTCGGCGGCTCCATTGTTTTTCCGTCCCTGGTAACTTTATCCCGCGGGATTGCCACTCGGAGCTGTGGTGCTCTTCGATATGCCGAGAGATCCTACCATGCTTACTCCGGAATATACTACTCTATGTAGCATCCAATTGTACGTACGGGAGCCAAGCATTACAATTTAATTTACTACAGTACACCAATCATAAACCTGGCACTGAACTCTATCTTAGGACTATTGTCATCAATTCAAACTGAATATATCGCCTCCTTCCGGTCCATCTTGTGCGTTCGTTATCCTCGCGGCCGTCGACTTGTAAAGTCGAGGCAAGTGGACATCCTCGAAGCTCTTACCATGTTGGATCATGTCAGCAAGTCCTTTTGCAGTCAAGAATATCACTGGCATGCCGTGGCCATCAAATCCGGCACAAATGTATTGCCCGTGTCTACCGGGAACCTCACCCACATGAGGACTAGTATCATACGAATATCCCATAACTGTTACAGAAGATGGTTTGTTAATGTCAGGCTCATCTTAGTGGATATCTTCCAGCTTGGAAATACTCACTGCCTGTCCAAATATCCTTCACGTAGGCCCCACTATCCTCCCAGCCTCTGAATGTGCGCTGCATAAAGCCATTGTAATAGTCCTTGGTTGGTTCTATCAGTATGCTATCATCAACCACTCCATACCACTGGTCTTTCTGATCTATGAATGTGCGTTGGGCACCCCCAACGATGATACTTCCGTCCGGCCTCGAGATCAGGTAGCTGCCGCCGCTTTCGCCAGTCTTTGTGCCAATACCATAAGAGTAAGGCAAGAATGGTGCGGTCTTACTCTCCGGGACCCCAATATGGCAACATATTCCACGACAGGGAACTATACTAGCTGAATACTCGGGCAGCAGGCCGGATGTGTATGCATTTGACGCGTAGACAACTTTAGACGTGCGGACGGGTCCCCGCGGGGTATGGATAATATGACCAGAATTGTCAGATACTACGGAAAGAATCGGGGTAAATGCTTGAACGTTAACTGCAGGCGAGTCCACAATCTTCGAAAGGAGACCCAATATAAGCTTGTAGGGCCACAGGGTACCTGATGTGTATGAGAGGCATGCTTTGGCCCCTTTGATTCCGGAAATCTGTGTAGAATATGCGGCTTAGCTGAAAACGCTTTCTTTGGGCGACGATAAAGAAACGCCCTTACCCCTTCTGCATTCTTTGATGGTGTGTAGTGTATGTCGTCTGCAAAAGCCAGACCTCGTGACACTAGGTCTTCATATTTCTTCTTTGCCTTTTCTCCTGCCGCTTCATCCAAGTAAACGCTCAGACACCGAGTGATATTGAAATCACAGTCAATGTTTTCTTCTGCAAGGAGATTCTTGATTGCTTTTATATGGTTGAGTTCAAAGTTGGCCACCTCGGCTGCAGCATCCACCCCATGTCTCTTTATATAGGTAGGGATACGGTCATACAAGTCGGGTCGTAGGTGGCCACCTAGGGTAATAATCAGGATAGCTAGCTAGAAATTGATGGTCTAAGCAACCTACCATTTCGACCAGTTGCACCAGAGCAGATCTGTCTTGCTTCAAGGATAGTAATCGCGGGGTGAGGCGTATTGTGGCCTTTCAAATGTTTCAGGATGTGATATGCAATGCTCACACCAGAATAACCGGCCCCTATAATGACGATATCACTCTGGTTTGGAAGAGTTTCTGTGCTCCGGAGTTCATCTAATGGGTGAGGTTCCGTGCGCCAGAATGGCCGAGTAGGATTATCAACTGGCAGGAAGGAGGGAAGATCTTGATGGTATCCCATGTTTTAGATTATTATTTAGAGATTGAATAGGTTCTGTCAGTTTTGTTGCCCCTTTAATAGTATTCTGTCAAAGTACCTGGTAGCTGAGTAGTGATATCCGAACACCGAACACCGATATCCTAGTATTGTCGGACTGAGGAGCCCTCGACGCTTAAAGTGATAAACAAGCTACTAATGCGGGGTTATCTCATCCAAGCTTACGATTTGCTGTCTTTTCTCACTCCAATCTAACAATGCCGCGTTTCTGCCTACACTTATCATGTCCAGCTTATACTCTCGAATTTCTCCTGCCTGTTTGTGTACGTGGATTAAATACAATGAGATTCTACATCGAACCTACATCCTTCATATAGTACTCAGCTATAAGAAGCCAACACCGCATCAGCCTTTTCCTTAAACCCACTCATCGCAGCTCGATATAACTCTGGACCCAAACTAATCCTCGCAACCCCCAACTCCTTCACCTCCGGTACAGTCAAAAACCCATCTCGCAGCACCAACTTTACATTCAGTCTCCCCTGAAAAGCCACAACCAACTCCTTAATCTCCTCCCTTGATACTCCCCGTCCACCCGCACCGCCCCAAACAAACACAGTACAAGCCCCGGCCTTCAGAAAAGCCCTCCCCCTCTCAATAGCATCTTGAATACTTCCCGGTGTGCCACCGGGGTTGTCCCCCAGGACATCCGTCCTCGCATTGACCACAAAATCAGGAACACCAAGCTCCGCAGCAGTCCGGACCGCCAGTTCAATCCGCGCCACGGCCTCCGACAAAGGCCGTAACTGTCCCGTAGTCCCGTCTAGATCTTCAATGTTGCATCCCACTGCGCCCAAATTAATGATCTCTTTGATCGTCTCGGCGATGTCTGCGTAGCCGTCCTGGATGTCAACTGTTAAGGGAAGCTTTGTTGTTGTTTCATTTGAGTATTCGCTTTCCGAGAGGTTGTTGGGCTTCAGGATAGCTGCTATGGAGCGAACGGCAGCTAGGTTTTGAGGCAGTGTTAGAGCGTCATCGGGGATGCCTTGGGAGGCTGCGATTGCGTAGCTTGCTGTTGCGATTGCTTTTGTGGAGGGGTGGTTTGCAATCAAAGAGGCTGTTGCTGCGTCGTATACGTTTGTGAGGAGGATTGGGTGGCCTGGAGTGTGGAGGTTTCGGAAGTGGATGGCTTGGTTGTTTTGCGCAGTTTTGATCGACATGGTTAGTAGTTGCGGGGATGGATTTGATTCGGAGGTAAGTAGGAATAGGAGCTTGAGTATTTTGGTCAGAAGAATACCAGAAAGACGGACGATAGGCGGTTTATATTATAGGTGAGTTGAGTCACCGTCTTAATAGTGTTTGAGTGTATACAATGATTGTTGCTGCCAAAGTGACCAATCACAGTGAAGCTGTGCATCATGTTCTCGTATTCTGATAATTAGTGCTGGAATAATAGTCCAATGGATTCAATGCGAGACTAATGAATGCCGTTTTCTATTCATTTAGTACTAATGTTTGGTCATGGATTCCAGACAATACTAGTAGTGGCTGTGTAGTTACGTGGATTGCTGTACAGCATCGGGTGAAAAGTACGGGTGGTAGTATTAGAATATATTTGTGTTGATGGTATTACAATACGGCGTAACTAGGACCATCAACATGAATAGAGAAAAGTAATTAGAGGATAGGTACTTGGACCAATAAGATTTGGATTATTATTCTCTATCTCAGTAGGATATACCTACACAGTAGTTATCGGGACATAGTTCGTTTTAAGAAGAATTGACAAAATGGAAGCATATTCGAAGAAGTCAATCTGGGAAGGCGTTAAACCCGAAGGGAATGGTCATTGATGACATTAATCCGTATCCGGTTAGCGCGCTACATCATTCCGCCCAAAGCTTTGAAACCCGCAACTCGGGCTGGAGTCCGACCGCAGGGGCAATCGCATCGCAAACTACTATGGCCCTGACAATTCCCACGACATCAGCTCCGTGAATATACCCTTACGTACTATCTTACATGACCTCATTTCTAACAGCGCGCGATACCCGTCATCATGACCGATTACTCAACATGGAAAGTGACTGAACTGAAGGCGGAACTGAAGCGGCGCGGCATTGCGCAGACCGGCCTCAGAGTCAAACAGCAATTTATTGACAGACTCGTGGAGGAAGACGCCAAGGGCGACGAGAGTCCCGTCGCAAATGAAGAGCCTACCGTGACACAAGATGTTGTTGAGGAGTTACAACCCGCCGAGGAGAAACAACCTACGCCGCCTCCCGTAGACGTTGCTGCAGAGTCACACGACTCCAAGCCTGAAGACCGAGTGCAGGAACAACAGCAGGACCAGGAAGTCCCAGGTACTGATGTTAGTGAAACTCAAGCCGAAAAAAAGACTACAGATGTGACACAAGATGACGACGCGACCATCGAGAAGAACCAGCAACAACCGTCTAAGTCGGAGCCGGCAGAACCAGCAGAACCAGCAGGAACCCAGCCTGAAACTGACACTTCGATGCAACCGGTTGAGCAGGCTCCCGGAAATGTGGAAGAAAAGGAACCTACACCTGCAAGGGAAGAAAGCATAGGTCAGGCTGACTCTGCTGAAAAAGTTGCGCCAGTTGCTGCACCCCCCTCAGAATTGACTACTGGATTGTCTACACCACTCCCTGCCGAGGAGCTTCTTGAAGACTCTCGGAAAAGGAAGCGTCGCAGCCAAAGCCCTGTTCCTACACCCGAGGCGCTGGCGAACAAAAAAGCGAAGCTTCCAGCAGAAGCCCCTAAGGTTCTCTTGCCGGAGGACAGAGGCGCGATGGATATTGATGGGGACATCAGACTTGACGAGACTGCTCCGGTTTCGCAAGAGACTCCAGAAAAACATGAAAATGTTAATCAACCTGATGAACAAGCTCCCATGCCTCGTGATGACTTACACCCTCCTTCTAGTCCCGACAACTCGCGAAGCAAAAAGAGTACCGCGCCGAAACAAGATGTTCGTTTCAAGGGCCTCTTTTCAGCTGGCGAGACAGAACAGGCCCGCCCTGCATCTCCCTCCGCTGATAATACCATAACTGAGGAGACGGAAGTTGAGCCGGCCTTGCATGTTGCGACAGCAGCACTGTATGTGGGTGGTCTGATGCGCCCGCTTCAACCTGCTGCTCTCAAGAGTCACCTTATTAACATTGCATCCCCACCTGGGGCTTCGCCTGATCCCGACATCGTTGTTAATTTCTACTTGGATTCCATCAAAACACATTGTTTTGTCAACTTTACAAATGTTACGGCAGCGTCTCGTGCCCGTGCTGCTCTTCACAATACTGTTTGGCCTGACGAGCGGAACCGCAAAATTTTGTTTGTGGACTTTATTCCCGAACATAAGCTGCAACAATGGATCGATACGGAAGAGAATTCTCGTGGACGTAGCGGTCCTCCAGCTCGTTGGGAGGTAAAGTATGACCAGACTGACGACGGAGTGGAGGCTGTCTTGGAGGAAATCGATCCGAAGAATGCGGGATCCCGTCAAGCGCGCGGACCGGCACCAAGTGACTTTTCTCGGCCCCCACCATTGGGTCCACGAGCAGATATGGAGAAGAAGGATCGACGTCCTAGTGGACCTGCTCAAGCTGAGCCCAGCTCTCGACCTGGACAAGGATTCAAACCACTCGATGAGCTATTCAGGTCGACTACCACCAAGCCTAAACTGTACTATCTTCCTGTCCCTCGCGACGTGGCGGACCGACGTTTAGACCGATTCGATGATCTACTGCGAAAAGGATCGTATCCTCGTCCCGGCGGCGACGAAACTCGCCGGATATCATTCGAGGATGGCGACTTATTTGTGGACAACGGCCCTGAATTTGCCGGTCGGAATCGGCGACGAGGTGGTCGCGGGCGAGGTCGAGGTGGCTTTGGCGATTCCTGGAGGGGCGATCGAACAGGTCGTCATTAAAAAAAGGTTCTTTAACCGGTGATGATATCATGTAACATTTGGACTCCGTTCTCAGATCAAAAACCTGATCAAGCTATGGCTTATTTTCCCGTGATGTTCGCTAGGGTTTATGACGTGTACAATATAGGGCTGAAAACTGCCGGATAAGCGCTTTAGGGATGTATATTACTGAAAAAAAAAAAGAGAAAGAAACAGAAATTATGATGAATATTGTAGATACTCTTTCCAGTTTCCCTGCCCCATCATCCTCTTGCCATCTTGTCCTTCATGTTGATTCTCAATAGAACTTGCTTGATATAGCCTTAGTCATCGGAGCTTGGGAAAAAGCTTAGCGTTTCTTGTGCCTGCTGGGCCTCATTCTTGATTGGGAGCCAATCCTTCAAGTTCCGAGGCGCAGCGCATACCAAAAAAAGTTCTTGGGAATGATCACCGCCACGATGAAATGCTCCACAACGATGAGGGCCAAAAATGAGGGCCAACATGGACAACTATTTTCGGAGAGCCAAGTGGTCAGCCTGGTGGACAGTCTTCTTTGTTTTCTGGCTATAGATTAGTTCCCGCCGATCCCTCTATGATTTTTTCTTTTTCGTCGTCATGCGTTGTTCTTTCCTTCTCTCTTCACTATCTGAATCGGATCACTAATGCGATATCCTTGTAGTTATTTCAGGGACATTGTCGACACACAGAAACCTCCGTTGACGTCGCGAAACTGACCAAGAAGAAAGAAAGTACCTCACAGGTGGTTCCCAGGGGGTCGGCCTCTTCGGAACCAAAACCGACGGGCGGATAAGATAGCGCTGCCTCTGCTGCCCGCGGATAAACATTTCAAAAAGTATTCCTCGTTCTAATCACACTTTCTCACCACCTTCTGCTTTCTCAACCAACCGAGACCTGTACTTTTCCATTACAGGTCTCGTGAGCTGGCGCTAAAATGGGCTGGCCAGTGTGTAACACGACACTGGAAGAGGGGACCAGTACGCTTCCAATTCCTGCCCTGCCCCTTCAAGATCACTAGCTGACAGGAGACGCAAACCACAGTTGAGGAGGAAGACTTGTGGAATGGCGGCATTACTTTTCACCAACTCTGCGAGATTGTTGGCGGCGTGTTCGCGCTCATAGCCGCAGGGGTCTCTTTTTTCTTGATTATGTGCCATGCCACGCATTACAGCAAACCCATTGAGCAACGACAGTATGACCCCCATCTCTGTTACCGTACTCCTCTTCCTCCGCTCCCTTGTTTTCATGATAGTAGACACTAACGGTATTGCTTGTCACATAGTATTATTCGAATCCTCTTCATGGTTCCGGTTTATTCCCTCGTCGCATGGCTCAGCATCTTTTTCTACAGAAACTCGGTTTACTTCTCCGTGATCGGCGATTGCTACGAAGCGTTCACAATATCTGCTTTTTTCGCCCTGCTCTGCCATTACATTGCGCCAGACTTGCGGAGTCAGAAGGAATATTTTCGCGGAATTGATCCGAAACCATGGGTCTGGCCACTGACGTGGTTCCAAAAGTGTTGTGGAGGGGAACGGGGGATATGGAGGATACCACGAAGCGGATTGACTTGGTTTAATGTAAGGCGCTTGCGGCACCTCGGAGTTCTTGACTAGGGTCATCTATACTAACCAGGCCGTTTCACTTAGATCGTTTGGGTGTCTGTCTTTCAGTACTGTCTACTGCGTGTGCTCATGACTATCGTCGCGGTCATCACGCAGCATTTCGGTGTGTACTGCGAGGAATCACTTAATCCAGCCTTTTCTCACATCTGGGTATGGTCTATGAAACTGGATGCTTTCCGATCTTAAAATTAATTAGGCTCAATAGGTCATGGCCGTCGAGTGTATTGCCGTCACTATTGCAATGTACTGCCTGATTCAGTTTTATATCCAGATCAAAGATGACATTAGCCAGTACAGCCCCTTCTTGAAGATTCTTTCGATCAAGCTCGTGATTTTCCTTTCTTTCTGGCAAAGTGTGAGTGCAGTTTTTGTTCCGCACCCTCGTCCACAATGTCTAACCTGGGGTTCAGATATGTATTAGCTTCCTATTCTCCGCGGGAGCGATCAAAGCCACAAAAAAGATAGCAGAACAGGATCTCAAGGTGGGGCTTCCTAATTTGCTTATCTCTATTGAAATGGCTATATTTGCAGTCCTGCACCTATGGGCCTTCTCGTGGAAGCCCTACTCGATCGGAAACACGGCAGTTGAGGTGACCGACTTCTACGGAAATGGCAAAGCAACCTACCAAGGTGGGCGTTGGGGCATGAAGGCCCTTATCGATTGTCTTAATCCTTGGGACCTCGTGAAGGCTATTAGCCGCAGCATACGCTGGCTTTTTGTGGGCCGAAAGAAGCGAATGCTCGACCCTAGCTATCGAACCCACGACGAAGCGATTGGGCTTGACGGTGCTGGTGAAACCAATGCGACAGCCTACCAAGGCGCGGGTGCGATGATGAGTGGCGGGCGACCAGGGCGCTATACTCCCGATGAAGAAGGGGAGGTTCTCCTTTCAAATGCACAGCCGAATCCAACAGCACGTCCTGAAGGCGATCTGGGATTGAATCCTCCACCCTACGACGATGTTGATCATGGCCACTACTACTCGTCTCACAATAGATTGAGCAGCTCGGCCTTACTGGATCCAGCGACCCACTCACCACGCCCGTACTCGCCGTATGATAACCCTTTCAACAACCCTTATATTGTTCCATCCGACTCGGAATCCGACCATCATCACACGAGCCCTACAGCTTATCACAACGCTCCTTACCCGCCGGATGCCCTGCAGGAACAACCGCCGATGCCTATACCTGAATCGTATCACCCTCCGTCCCAGGGTGGGGGCAGGACAACCCGGGATGTCTAGCCAACCGTAGGCTTTTGAGCGCAGTGCAGCACTAGGTTCCAGCTTGAGCGCTCTATGTTGATCTCATATCATGTGTAATGTAGCCGCATGTTTGGCGTTGATTCCATGCATGGCTTGCTTTATGTTCAGAATACCCCCCATATATGTTTTACCATTTGCTTCATTTCTACGCATGGTCATGGGACGAACGAAGTCTTGAGACTATGGCCTTTTGGGCTTTTTTTTTTTTTTTTTGTATATGATACTCTTTGACTTCAAGATTCAATTGTACATGACTATATCTAGATACCCTCGGGATATAATGGAGACGAGTCTAATAGACAGGCCCACTATCTTTCACGATAACCTCTACATTTCGGAAGACAACTTACAGGAGCCAAAATAACAACCTCGTAAGATATTGTTTTCATTCCTCATGATAAGCTGTTCTAATAAGACCAAACGCCACTATAAACCACCTAGGGTTTAATTTAATGATCATCACGAGCCCTAAGGCCAACAAACTTGTTCTAAGTCTAAACATTGCTTATCCGTGCGCTATACCATCACGGGCGAACAGTTCTTCCTCGAATCGGCTCTGCATAGACATTTGTGTCTTTCGGGACGCATTACTTCTTCTTACATTGGTTATAATCCCGGTCCTCTTTCCTAGTTCGCGCATGCTGTTGATGCTGCTGCTTAGTTGGCCGAGAAGTGCCACTAGGTGAACATCGTTGCTCTGAGCGAGGACCTCAGCTGAGAAAGCGCTCTGTTCTTGAGGAGAGAGGAGGGATAGGTGTGAGAGGAGGGAGTTGATGTTTCGGAGGATCGGGTGAGATAGAGTCGCCGTTGATGGTGTTGTATTCTCTTGGTTACCACCTTCAGATGCTGGGGATATACTAGCGACGTATGATTTTATCAACGAGATTCGGGACTCTAGAGTCCGGATCGCATTTAATCGGGTATTGAGACTGGCGATCACTGCGAAGATATACATGTTAATAATTGAACGTTGGTTCTGCGCACGGGATAAACTCACGTTCTTCTTCATCCGGCGAGAGCACCACAGTGTCTGTTGACTGTTCCTTGTTGTCGATTTTCTTCTTCAGCACTTCCTTGGCTGAGGAGAGTGCGCTCGGGCCTTCAACGGCTGCATTCCTCGCAGTTCTAGCGACAGTGTCGATGCCTATCATCTCGGCCTCCCCGGTCTCGACGAAATATGGCAGTTCCCGGAATCGTATGCTCAACGATTGTTCTTCGCCGTCGACTTGCATCGTTTTCTCGCTTTCTGCGGCATTTTCGCCCTCGTATACACTCTCATAGACTGTTAATGGTAATTTACCGCCGTTTGCCGACGCGCCTTTCACTTGAGAGGGGTGGAATGCGAGAAACACCGCGGATTCGTTATAGTGTTGGAGGATTTGGCGATGAATTGGGAGATGAGTTGCGTCTGGACCGGAAGGGGGAGCTGTTGACCACCATCCGACAATATCAAGGGCAGGGACTTTATGTACATCCTTGACTATGACATGTCTTGTCAGCCGGGAGTAGATAAGACGGGGTGTGACGTATGTTACGTGTCTTACATTGTTTGACTCGTTCATTAAACCATTCATTTGGTAGTTGGGGCTCGCCGTTCGGGCCTTCCTTCACGATACATTCAAAAGCGTGCTCTAGTGTTATCTCGCGCCCGTTTTGTTGCCCGAGCAGAGCTCCGAGGATTGGGCCTTGTTGCGACCTTGCGGCATGTCTGGTAATGTGGTCCGAGATTGTGAGGAGGATCAAAGGGTGAAGTTGGATATGGAGGCCCGAGTCGGACGACTTTTGGGATACAAAGGAGCTTAATTGTTCTGTCATCTTGGAAGTGGGCGAGAAACAACCGATGGGGTAACGAAATGGCTGTTCCTGGTACTGTAGATAGGCTGTTGGAGGTTGACTTGTAAAGGAACTAAACCATGGAGAGTGCGGAGCTATCGTCGCTGTTTGTCGTGTTTGCATGGAGCTTCCCCACCATCACAAACGATAGATGCGACGTTCCTGAGCAACCATCTTCTACTATCTATCCATCAGCTGTGGGAGAGGGTCGCTAGTGAGTGAAACATTTTCGGACAAAATGGCAGTACCATCTACGTATAACGAGGTGAAACTTCACCTGCAACAAGTCCAACGCGACCCCTCCGTTCGCTTAGACATTCCCATCATTGACAAACTGAAGCTGCAGCTTACAGAGAGTACGGACAGCAGTGTCCCTGCAACTCTCTTGCCGCTGATCTCTCAGCTGCTTCCTGTACTCCAAGAGGATCCCACTCCCATCACTACTCTTGCTATCAAAGCTACTGCATATACTAGCTTCACTGACCTTCGTTCGGTCGACCCCCCAATTGATTTCATTGCGGGGTTCAAGGCACCATCGCCACCCATCAACTCTTTAGCTTTAGCTCTACTGAGCAAGGCCGGACAGGCGCCCAGCGACGCCGCCATAGTGGCTGGTGACTCTGAGCTAATCGCTTCTCTGGTGGAACTCTGGCTCTCAACTTCTTCAACTGCTGTCGCTCAGGCTGCTTTTGATGCTATATGGGCACTACTAGAAGTTGATCTGACAAGCCCCTTAGAAAATGGGGAAGGTTCCAATGAAGGGCAAGAGGGTACTGGAGGGCAGGGTCTCGTGTGGAGGAGGGTTTTCACCGACAGAGACGTTTACGGACGCTTATTTTCATTGTGCAGCCTCACCGAGAATGGCTCTGGAAACCTTTCGAAACGCGACAAAACCGTAGCCCAAGGCCGGCTGATGGGCTTCCTTGCGAAGGCTGGCAACCTGCGCTGGGACATTATCTCAAGCCCACAAATACCGGATATTGAGACTAGATACAATAGTAACAGCCTTCTGCATTTTGCAGCTTGCGAAATGGTCGAGACAACTGATGTTCTGATGCATATGACCTTGTTGAACTTCTTCCATGACCTCCTGGAGATACAAGCCCCTGGCCTTACTGCTCGGTCCTTTGTCCAGGCGGCATCTACCTTCTCGTCCCCTGCTCTTGACTTCCTTATCTCGCACAACATACATTCCTCTCTTCTGAGTTACTACTTGGACGAGTCGAAATTGGATCCTGTGGATCTGAACTATCTTTGTGGTCCTATCATGGCTTACGTTGCGCAGTATGCAGAGTTGTATCCTAATCATTTTCTACAGAATCCCAAGCATCTATTAGACCGAATCCTATCACGGATTTCCGCGTCGGTGACGATCTCATCCGCTCAGTGGGCGCATGGGCCTGTCCCAAGCGGTCAACTCAACGTGCTCTCCTGCATTCCCCGAGTTCTGCTTGTGGAAGCCACTAAACAGGGCTTGAATCCTGTTCTGGCTCTTCCCACGAGCCCACCCAACAAGGAGGCATTAGATGTATTGAGCAAAATTCTCCACGGCCCTTCGAAACTATATCTTCCCGATACGATGGAGCTTAATACAGCTGGCCAGACAGCCACAGATTGGCACAAAGAGGCAGCAGCAGCTCGGATACTTTACTTTATGTACTTGAACCAGCACAGCACTTTCTGGACGGATATTGTCGCTGCGGCTGACATTTTGGCCATGAAGGATGTCTCTCTAGCAGCCATTTCATTCATGAGAGCTATTATCACAGCGAATTGGGAGAAGCTTTCTGTGGAAGTAACTTCTTCTGTTCCAGGCACATCCCGGTACCAGCTTCCTTCTGAACAGGGCTTAGGCAGTCTGTCCCCAGCTTCTCAAGGAGTGCTTCCCTCATCGGGTGCCTGGGCAGCTCTTACCCCACCAGCTTTGACCGTTCTTCTACCTTATCTTTTCAAGGCACCCCGCTCGTATGCTGAATTTGTTGGAGGTGGCGCAGGCGATTCGCAAAACGCAGTCTGGAAAGTTGCAACAGCGAAATACGAGGTGTTAGTGGCGTTACACAATCATCTCAAGGAAACAGGTGGTGATATGGCAGGATTCGAGGATATTATGCGCACCCTTCAGCAGAGGGTAAGCGAAGGACCATGGGGACCAGTAACGCAGAGTGGAAACCGGGTTGAGACTGTTGGTCTATAAAGTCTGTATTGTCAAGCGATGCATGCATCACCAATACTGTACCGTTATGTCAGCGCTGAGAGCGCCCTTCTCATTACTACAGCAAAGTTCACCAATTCAGGATTATAATGAAACTGAGCATCACTATATCCCGCTACCCATCCTTCAATTCACTTGATAAATAGTAGGGTTATATCTCATAAGCCCTGATTGCCCTCTTGAGACCCATCCGGGAAGGCGGTGAGTCGAACCTCCGCCGTAACTTTTTTTCTGATCGCCGCAAACTACTCCTCATCCATCATTTCTGCCGCAAAGAAACCTTGACTCCAAATTATCACCCCAAAAACTTAGGACGATCCCAGCACATCTATAACAAAAGTCCACCCTTAAAGACATACCCATGTCCCGGTTCGGAGCGAAAAAGGGCAGAAAGCTGCCCGGCGCAGAATTTACTTGGGACAATGACCCAAACGGGGAACCAGACACTGCGCCTACACCCCTCTACCCTGTACGTCCCTCTAACTTTTGATCTTGCGCAACTGAAATGCAAGCAAATACACTACAAGAGATCGAGAAGGGGTGCAAGAAGCTTATATGGACCTTTCTTTTATTTCCCAGAAATACACCGTCCCCCAAGCCCGATCCCTAAGCGAGCGCGAACAAAAGCAAGTTGATCTGTACCGGGCTCTTCGCGAGCAGTTCCACGACGGTCCCTATTACTCTGTTCTTGATCCGGGCTTGTCCGGTAGAAAGTCGAAGGCGGCGAGACAGCATTTCGATCCGTTCCACGGCATGCCGTCTTATTCGGGGAAGTATCAGAAGAAGAAGAGGGCCATTCCGAAATTGAGTGGGCGGCCTTATAGTGAGTTTTCTCCCTTTCTTGTTTTCCTTTGAAGTATAATTGGAGAAGGGGAAGAGTATTTGTTAATGATGTTTGAAATAGTCATGAAGTTCTTCCCCCGCGACGATCTTTGGGAGGTCATTCAGCCAAACTTCAAGGCCGGTGCGGCGGTGGATGGGTTCGTTGCGAAGATGGTGCGACCGCCGCTTAAGCGTGGATTCGAGGATGATGACGAGGAAGATGAAGATATCGGGAAGCGACGGAAGACGGGCGATGAAGATGACGAGGGTGGTGAGAATGATGATCTCTTGGAGCCAGATGATGAGCAGGGTGAGGAGGAAATTATGGATGATGACTTTGAGGATGATGATGATGAGATGGGTGGCGACTATAACGCTGAGCAGTACTTTGACGGCGGCGATGATGAGTATGGGGATGATGGATTCGGGGATGGTGGTGGCGGCGGTGATGAGGATACTTATTAAAGCGGGAGAACGCTTGAACTTTCCGAGATACCCTTTTCTTTCTTTCGAATATGGTTTCTTTTCTATGAGCGGTGTTTTTATATATCATATATATGGATGGATGGATGCATTTGCATGGTGGAGCGGAATTGCATGCTAGTTTCCTTTTGAGGGGTATGGTTTGGTTCATGGTATACTCGTAGGGGCGGATGAGCTGGAATGTGTAATATGAGGCTATTCCTTCGCTCCAGGGCTCCTTAGCAAGGAAGCTGTGTGAGGTATGAGGGCCCCTGGCCATCTCTGGCATGGTTTACTCCGTATAAGGGCCAGACTATATATGCTCGGGATGATACTACAGGTTGCACCTTCCACGCGATAGACCCATGGCGAAAATATGGCCAGGATAGGACAATATAGAATAAGTAAGGGGCCCCATTCATGTGCTTAGCTTAGTTACTCGCGATCAATGCAGATTGTTACCACGGTAGTACCTAAGTTGTGACCAGCTCGACTTGTTCGCATCATTTTATCTATTGAGTATACGTACACAGCACTCAACAAACAGGACCCTTCTACTTTGGACTAGTACTTCGTAGATAGTACTTTCCCTCGGACCTGTGAGGTTATCCTAACGTTGCCGGTCGTTAAACTTAAAGTTCACCTCTAACCTAGATTGCTAACTCTGTGTGGAGTCCTTCGACGAAGCTCCTGGACCGTGCGATGTATGAGATGTTCAGCTTCGGCCATTTTGCATCGTGAAATCAATTACACTGTGGCAAACGGTATGGATCAGTTTGGATAAAATGAAGAGACTTTTGTGTATAAATTGCGTGGATCGGGCTCCTAAGCTCCACTATGACAGTTGACGTCGGAGCTCGACCGATGTTATCAATGTAACCTCATCTCGTTTCAACCAACAATCAAGGCTTACCCTAACTGATCAAATCCAGCCAGACAGTAAATAAACCTTATCGGTGTATATGCTCGGTGATCGTCCAGTAGCATCATGGAGTCCAACTGTCTCAGCGTCATTATATAGATCTCGTCGTTGCGATGTCGACATCTCTGGACACTTCAATGACCAGCTCACTGAGACTTATACAAGGCCTAGACTTTGAATTCTCCGAAAAGTAGGATACCATGAATGCAAACGGAAATCGAGTAAACTATGCTATCTTGAATGATATCACAATAGAAATCTTGATGCAGATCAAGTTGTTAAGGGAAAAAAAGATATTTAAGAGCTACGTTTCTCTTCGACCGTCATTACTTCCTCCTCAGCTCAACATTCTATTCTTCTCTAATAAGGACTATCCATAATTCTAATACACCCACACTCAACATGCAGATCACTAAGTCGCTCATCGCAACCACCGTTGTACTCTACACTTCTGTTGTTCTTGGAGAAACGGTTAATGTATATAATCTCTCCCCACCAGAGGAAAGTCTAATATTCGATCTATGAGCTGACTATCTACTGAATAGATTGCCTATACCTCCAATGGTGACTTCTACCAGGAGAAAATCGAAGCAGAAAAGCTCACAAAATTAGAACATCCGTAAGTGCCCACTTCCACTCTATTTAGGTACACTCTATTTAGGTACATTATTTACTAACGGTTGATATTATAGAGGAGTCTTGACTGATATCCAAAACACAGCTAACTGCGTTTTGTGGCGGTAAGTTCCCAGATCATATATAGTATTTGTTCCTGCTTGGGGTCGCTTGCTTATACCGCACTTTAGTCATCACCCTAACCACCCTCCCGACTATCAGGCTAAACGGGGCTCAAATATCGTTATCCCGCCCCAGCAGCTTGATTATATCTACTGCTATGAGCCGAGCGGTGCCTGGGTTAACTACGTGTGGTAGTTTAACAAGGAGGAAGATATTCTTGTTCTCCTGAGTAGGCACTGCTGGAGATGGACCTGCAACTGGGCAAATGAAATGAGGCATTTGTACCTGAGTCTGGCTCTGGTATAGGTTTTTCTCCATATTATAGGTTTTACTATGCCTTCATCAAATGCAAAGGGTCCTTATATCTATCACATTACTTTATTTTATGTATTTTGTAACTCGTAATAACAAGTGATACTCGAGTTGGTTTGACACATCTAAGCACCACACTATCGTAGACTATTAGTGACTCATAGGCCTTTCTACGATTACTACCTTCACCTAGATTTAGTACCTGTTGTCTAACAGGTGATCCCTTCCGTCTTCATGGACATGCAATGAATATTTCTGACTATGAATGTCCTTTATCAAACTTTTGGTGTCGCTCAGTGACAGCCCTAACTTGCTGAACCTTTTATTGTATACTTGAATCCTTGCTGCTCTTTGATTCGGATGATTCTCTGAATGTGGATTCAAATTATCTGATTGCTACTTTTACTAGCTGACTTATAAGATTCATCAATGATATAGGCAAGTAGAGAATGATTGAACGACTACAAAGTTTCTGTCGGCTTATAGAAGTTTAGCACCTGTGGCTAAGCTGCCGAATAACTCCAGCTATGTACGGGTGTTGTATATGAAGAGCTGCTTCCGCAGTAACTAGCAAGTTCCTATTACTAGTATCTCAAGTATGAATAATTATGGCCAGAGCTTTAAATCCAACGTCAGCGGTATAGTACGTGGCGTAGATATATATAACGGCTGGAAGTTCTAGGGTAACCTAGATTGTTGTTTGGCTTAAATATTGAGCGGCAATAGAACGATAAACTATAATAAATGATAAATAACGAGATTTTGCACTGAGCGAAACGTCTATCAGGCAACAGAGAAGGAGGATGTCCAGGTTATGGAGTATAGAAACAATGGCATGAGTATACACAACTAATGCATAATCACATAAGCCACCCTTTATGACAAGTTATAAATAATGCAGCGACTTCGGCCTGACGTCATTCCGTCCCGCCGGCGAAAACCGCAAAAATGGAGGGGTTATCAAACCCCAATACAAGACGAGCAGCGCGATAAAAGTACCTGCATGATGAGCCAGGATCAGGGATCAGGACCCCGTAAACGGTCTGCTCTCATTCTCTATGGCTCAGAAACCGGTAATGCCCAAGAGGTGGCCGAAGAGCTGGGGTCTTTGGCCGAGCGCCTACATTTCATGACTCAGGTTTCGGAGATGAACCATGTCAAGCCAGTGCGGTCTCCCCCCCCATCTATAGCCATGGTGGTCACATAGAGTCAGGGCTAATGGTGATGTATAGGAGAAATTGAGCTCGTATACTATTGTTGTCTTTGCTATCTCGACGACGGGTCAGGGAGATCTACCTGCTAATGCACGGACGTTTTGGAGATCTTTGCTTTTGAAGAGGCTTCCGCCGACGTTTTTGGAGGGCGTTAAGTTTACGTCGTTTGGGTTGGGGGATAGTTCTTATCCTAAGTGAGTCGCATTTTTGTGGGGTGTTGGTATTTGGATTTGGATCGGTTTCTAACGCGTAAAAAGGTTCAATTGGGCTGCGCGCAAGCTGTGCAAGAGATTGATTCAGTTGGGCGCAAGTGAGACCTGTCTTAGTGGAGAGGCGGATCAACAGCATCCTGAGGGGTATGTTGATAGTCAAAAACCCTATGTTTCTATTTGTTGTACTGATGAACCTCCAGACTGGAAGGAACATTTATTCCTTGGATAACGGACTTCCGTAAACACTTGCTGGACACATACCCTCTTCCTGAAGGTCAGCATCCGATACCGGATGATGTCCAATTACCACCAAAATGGGTGCTGCAATTACAGGGTCAAACCCCAAGCCCCAACGCGGATCCTGTTGTCTCAGGAACAGAGAATCAGAGCATCTCAGCCAAAGATTCAAAGTCCCGACTAGAGCATGACCTCCGCCCGATCCCAGATACACTGACTGCAACCCTTACCCAAAACAAACGGGTGACACCTCCAAAGCACTGGCAAGATGTACGACACGTCTCCCTGACGGTTCCCGACTCCGTCACCTATGTCCCCGGGGACATGATCTCCATCTTGCCCAAGAACTTCGCCGAGGACGTCCAAGCCCTGATTCAGATGATGGGCTGGGAAGACCAGGCCGATCAGTTGGTCTCGCTGGTCCCTGCTAATAACCAGCATTCCGTCGAAGACCTACCTTTACCACCCATTCCTAACCTGGAGTTGTATCCGAAGCTGACGCTACGCGCGCTCATCATGGACTACTTAGATATTCGAGCGATCCCTCGCCGGAGGTTCTTCTCGGAGATTTCTCATTACACTAATGATGAAATGCAGAAGGAGCGACTACTTGAGTTTACTAATCCCGAGTTCCTGGATGAGCTCTGGGATTATACCTCGCGACCGAGACGCAGCATCCTGGAGGTTTTACATGAGTTCGATACGGTGAAGATCCCTTGGCAGCATGCGACGTCGGTGTTCCCCGTTCTCAGAGGGCGACAATTCAGCATTGCCAGCGGAGGCGAACTGAAGCGGACACCCGAAGGTGGAGCCAAGTTCGAACTATTAATCGCTATCGTGAAATACAAGACCATAATCAAGAGAATCAGAGAGGGTGTCTGCACAAAGTATATATCGGTACTGCAACCGGGGAGTACCTTGAAAGTGCATCTGCAGCGTGGAGGCCTGAATTCATCGTTGGGTCAGCTATCTGGACCAACGGTTTTGGTTGGTCCCGGCACCGGAGTTGCGCCGTTACGGTCTATGATCTGGGAGAAAGCTGCCTTTATCAAGGCGTATAAGGACGAAAATGGTGGGGCTGAGCCGACCATTGGGCCTACTATTCTTCTCTTTGGAGGGCGTAACCGGAATGCCGATTTCTTCTTTGATGAAGAGTGGCAGCAGCTGAGTAAGTTGGTTAAATTGGAGGTCTTTGCGGCGTTCTCCAGGGACCAGAAACAAAAGGTCTATGTGCAGGACGTTATCCGAGATAACTTTGGACTATTCTTTAGACTCTTGCATGAGATGGCTGGGTCAGTGTATGTGTGCGGGTCGTCAGGACGAATGCCGCAAGCTGTCCGGGAGGCGCTGATTGAGGCATTCCAGCATGGTGGGGAAACCGACGCAGAGCGCTTCAGCAGAGAAGAGGCAGAAGAGTATTTGCTTGGCATGGAGAAGTCTGGCCGGTACAAGCAGGAGACATGGTAATAGATCTAGGAATCACATGCTATGGACGTGACTAGAGTGAGTGAGTGTGGGCAGACCCCACCGAACGAGGGCACGATTCAATGAACAGAATAGAGAGACATCTGCGCACAATGAGTATGAATCATTTCCCGTAGTCCGATACTCTTAAAACATCAATCCAATCCCCAACCATTTCGTACATATAAGCCTTGGGCATGTCGTGGTAACCTCGGTTGGAAGCGGAGGGGCTGAGGCGGAAAGGGAAGAGGGCGTCGGGCCGCGTCGGCGTAACAGCAGCTCTCCGCCCTGGAAAGTCAAGTCACCTGCTTCTGTTCTGCCCCGGATCTGCTCCGACGCATCGGTCCTCATTCACTACCCTCTTCTACCTCACTTTCTACTCCTTAACGGCTTTCGCCCTCCATTGGCTTGACAGATTTAAAGAGCTTTCACAGTATCGTCCATAATGGCCAGCGGTTTACGCATTTTGGTACCCGTCAAGCGGGTGATCGACTACGCGGTAAGTTTTTGTGCTCTCCGTCTTCGGTGAAAGAGTCACCTCCGGCCGCAAAACTCACGACCAAAATGTTGGAGGGGCTTACGCTCACATCGCCATTTTAATGCTACCGAGTCCAATGTGACAGCTGATGCCAATTACTAATTCCCTGAAAATTAGATCAAACCCCGTATCAACAAGGCCCAGACCGGCGTCGAAACCGCCGGCGTCAAGCACTCGCTCAACCCATTCGACGAACTTTCGATCGAGGAGGCCGTCCGCCTCCGTGAGCGCAAGGGTCCTCTTAAAGTCGAGAACATTCTCGCTCTCTCCGCGGGCGGAGCCAAATGTGCCGACACCCTCCGCACGGCGATGGCCATGGGCGCCGACCGCGCGTTCCACGTCGACGTCGCCGACTCCAACGATGGGGGCCTGGAGCCTCTTACCATCGCGAAGATGCTGAAGGAGGTTGTCAACAAGGAGAACATCAACCTGGTGCTGCTCGGGAAGCAGGCTATTGATGGCGACCAGGGTCAGACCGGTCAGATGCTCGCGGGCCTGTTGGGCTGGCCTCAGGCGACGCAGGCTAGCAAGGTAGATATCAAGGATGAGCAGGGAACAGTGGAGATCACCCACGAGGTTGATGGCGGTGTTGAGACCCTTCGGGCCAAGTTGCCTCTCATCATTACTACCGATTTGCGACTCAACGAGCCGAGGTATGCTACTCTGCCGAACATTATGAAGGCCAAGAAGAAGCCGTTGGAGAAGAAGACGCTGGCGGACTTTGGTGTGGAGGATAAGAAGCGCTTGAAGACGCTAAAGGTCACTGGTAAGTTCTTCAGTTGCTGAAGCTTTTTTTTTTTTTTCTTTTATTTGTGTCAGGGCTGGCATGTTAACTAACTCTCTGCAGAACCCCCGGCCCGCCAGGGTGGCGGCAAGGTTGAGGACGTCGATGGATTGATCGGAAAGCTGAAGGAGCTGGGTGCTCTGTGAATCGTATAGTCGGTTAGTGTATGTTTATGATTACTTAGACTTCGTCTACGAGTCAGTAGACCTTCAAATTTCTCCATGTTCAATTTCTCAGTAAAAAAATATAATTTGCCTGACGTGTCGGAATCCACTACTGCATCGATCAGACTTTTATAAAAATTCTAGATAAATCGACCTCGTGATGTAGTCACCACGACGTTTCACTCCCAACAAAAAACCACCCTTACATATTGACACGAACCCAGGATAGATCATCTCTAGCGAATAATTGCCCCAGCCGTTCTAGCGGGCATGGAAGTTACCCACTAGCCCCAAGCTAACGGAACGAACTTCAATCGAGTTATGTAGAATGGATACATCCAAAAGACCCACGCTAAGCCGTCAACGAAATGATATATCAAATCATGGGTAATGCGAACAGACAGGGTAATCCAAGCATGGGCGGCGTTGATCGCAAGTCTCGTGGGAAATGGGAGGAGAGTAAAAATCCAGAAAAAAAAAATAATCCAAAA